TTGTTAGATGCTGCTCTTCTGGTCCTGGCTGTTAGACAGAGTGGGAAGAGATGGTTGTATTCAGAATCCTGAGTGTCCCTCTGTAGAAGAGGCAAAACAAGTATTTTGCCCCTACTTACTTTCCAGGTACTGTGCTGTAGCAATCTATCTTCCCTAAAGCTTCACTTCTGAGTGGGGTAATATTCATCTCTGTGTTGGATCTTGACCCTTCCTGAGTATATATGAGGAGCAACTGGTTTCCTAACAGTGCTTGCCTTTTTCAGAAGAGCTACATACCTGAAAAATCCACTGAGATCAGTGTGTGACTAGCTGAGGATCCAACTTTTATGACTTCAGAACGAGCTGTCAGGTTGGCTAAGCAGTAGTGTCTGCATATATTGATGAGGCTTTCTGTCTTTCCTCAACATGGTAAATATTCCTGATAATCCACTTCCCATTTTAAATTAGAAGGTAGACTTCTTTAAAATATTTATGTGCTTAAATATCCTTTTTTTTTTTTTTCCTGGGTGCTAAGAAAATGCTGGAAATGCTTCTGCTGCCTTCATGACCTTGTACTTTCAGTGATTATTTAGAAAATTCTGTTGTGGCAATTAATGAACTTACAGCATACCCACTAGTTTAAGTGTCACTGTAGATGATGAAAGTAGATACTGAACATTCCTTTTGCTTTTTCTGTTTTGCTGTACATTGTTTATCCTTGAATAGAAATAAGTGGAACTTGACTGTTTGCCCAGATTTGCAGCTGGTCTCTAAAGGGAGAAAAATGTTAAGCTCAGCAGTGAGTTTGGAAGTTACCCTGCTTGCACCATCTGTCTGATGGCGCAGTACAGTGTTGTGCGGTGCAGTGGTGGAGCTTCAGTAAACTGTGATCCCTGCACAGGAGTAATTGTTTTTTCAGCGGCATAGAGCAGAAGCACATGTTGGTAGTGACTTGCTATCTGTGAGGTCAGTTTCCACTGTGGAACTGAAAGTGGTGTTGAGGGTTGGGGAAGAGTAAAAGGGAGATAAGAACTGGTGAAGAATGCAATAGCAGTAAGATGCTTGCTTCAGATGGTTCCTAAGGTGGGACCAGGGGCAGCTGAAACAGTGGTGAGGGCCCTTCTGAAAGAGTAGCTGGTGCTGTTGCCAGCAATTCTGTAAGATGGAAACACTGTGGCTGTGGATGCAGCCCCTGTGTCACCAGGAAGTGCTCTGTGGATGCAGCCCCTGTGTCACCAGGAAGTGCTCTGTGGAAGAACAAGTTTGGCCATTACAATGCCAGTAAGAACCCCATTTTTCATCACTGATGAAGGCCAACAAACATAAGATCAAAGAGTGATTTCAGTCAGCAAGGCATGCAGCAGTGGCAGTGTCAAGTCCTGTGGCTGAGCGCTGGATCGAGGTGGATCGGGGGTTCCCAGAGCCAGGAGAGCTTGAGCATAAGCTAAGAGACTTGACAGGAGCCAACAGAGAGGCTGACCTGGCTTGGGCATTGCAAGGAGTAACTGCAGCAGATTTAAAGGGCCCTGGGGAGCACAAGCAACCAGGATGTGGCACAGCAGTCTGCACAGGAGGGTGTGCAGGGAGGGCCCTGCACCCTGCTTGTAGGCTCACAGCCCAGAGAAGTGCTCTGCCAGAATGGTGTTCACTCTCCTCACAATTAAAACCAGGGTTTCAACAGAGAAAGCTCCTGAGCTGTCTGAAGCTTCCACCCATATGGAGCCGGTAAGGGACGAGACTTCAGTACAGGAGGTAGATTGCAATGAGTGCTCAGCCCTTCTGCAGAAAAGGAAGTACCTGCATAAGGTGTGCACAGGCTGATGATCTGTTGTGTCAGGTGGCTGAGTCACAGAAAACAGTTAAAAGGCTGTGCAGTATTAGAGGGGCTAGATACAGATAGATGGGTGGTTTCAGAACCATGCTCCTGTGGCAGACACCACAGAGAATGAGGTACCTTGGACCCTGGTGACCCACAAAATCAGGATTCTAGTTCAGTCCCAACCTCCAGCATTACAACCAAAAGCAGCTATGAAGCTTTTAACACCTGTAGGCACCCATGAGCAAGGTCTGAAGGGAGAAACTCTACCAGCATGGTTAGTGCTCGTGATGGGTGACTGCTTAGGGGCACTGAGGCACCCATCTGTCACCTGACAGGAGGCACATGAAGTGTGCTGCCTTTGGGAGCTAAAGTCCTAGATATTGTTAGAGGGTGCCACAACTTGTCAAGAGCACAGCCTACTGCCCACTGCTACTTGTTCAGGTGGGCACAAATGACACCACAAGCTGGAACTTGGGCAGAATCAAGGAAGACTGCAAAGCCCTGTGGGTGCAAGCGAAAAGTACTGGTGTCCAAGTTATCTTTCTCCTGTTTTACCAGTGAGAGGAAAGGGTGCAGCCAGAAATAGATGTATAATGCAAATCTACTCTGGCTTTGTGACTGGTAGTGCCGAGCACCTTAAGTGTGTGTAAGAGATCCTCTTGCACCTCTCCTGGGAAACCTGCATGCTCGTTTACTTCTCCAAGTGGAGACTCTGGGCATCTCTCCTTTCTGAACTAGAGTTAGGCAGGGTTGTTTAAGGACAGTTAACTGTCTTGTATGGGGGGTGGGAAGACCCTGTAGCTATTGTGTGCTGGTGTTTACTTGTGTTGGAAAGCTTGTAAGCCCAGGAACTGCAATTACCAGTGTGCTGCCCTTAGGTTGTCACATCAGCCTTTACTGAATGGCCATGTGAATAGACATGCTAGTCTGATTCGAAATTTCTGTTAATGTTCTCCTTGATAGCTGTCAACTAGCCTGGGATCTTAATGCTGCTGGGAAGAAGAAGGTTCTGCTGTTCCTGCTTTCTCATTGTTCAGTGGGATATAGGATCATTACACATGGATACTCTTATTTCAACCTTTGTGTCTTGCAATGCATCAACTGTTGCAGCTTATTACCAGAATATAATGATTGCCCCACATTTTTGAACTTTTTAAGGTTGTCTTGCACAGTTAAGATGATTGTTGCTCAGTCTACTCAAATATTCTATCCAGGTGTTTAGCTTATGGTAAATAAAGAGAAACTTTGACAAAAATTTATCTGTTGTGGATTTTCCTTTGCTCCTCAGCATGCACAGGGAATTCAGCTATGTTAGAGCTCTTACTGTGTGACAGTTCAGGGCTTCTTTAGACGTGTCCACATTCCAACTTCTAGAAAAGAGCAACCTGGCTTTCATCAGTGCAAGCAATGCTTTAAAATGGTAGCTGCTCTGGCCTTTAAATAATTTTTCATATTTGTTTTGAATGTGCTGTGTTGTGGCCTCTACCAGAGTGTTAAAAAGGGTGTTAAGAAACTGAATTACACATGAGAACAGGAGTTGCCTCATCTGTTAAAGCAATCTTAATGTTGGTAAACTGTTATGGGGTGTGGAGGCAGAATGACATTAGTATCCATGAAGGGAGTATCACCATTGTAAATCATGACCTAAGTGAAATAAAGAGGTGTGGAAGGCCAGGCATCATGGAACATAACATAGAAATCTATTGAGTACTTGGGATTTCTGCTGTGTTGCTAGGGGTCCAAACAGAGATGTACAGGAGTTCTCCTGGGACAGCAGAGGCAGCACTCTTTGTATGTAATCATCATATTTTATTTATAGCAGAAAAGAGGAAAGCCCATCCCCACATAGGCAGGCAACAGCTAAATACTGCATTACAAGTAAATAGGTCTTTGTGTTACTTCTCTGGGGACTTTATACATATTATCACTTTCTATTTGTGAGTTGAGCTGCATTCCAGCCCATGCTGTCATTCTCATCTGTGTGGAGGTTGTCTGTGCCAGCTTTACTTCATCTGACATTCTGTAACCATGAGCAGTTGTCTCCTATGATAGTGCACGTTAGATGTGCTGGTCAGTCTAAGCTTCTGCACCATTTCCGTTTTTCATTTGAGAAGGCCTTTAATGCAAACCTAATGAGATTATGGTTCATTTACTCTTGGGTTCCAGGCTAAGTTTGCAAGGGTAAAGAGCATTTGAGATTGTAGCTTATTCCAAAGAGAGGCTGACATTCCTATCAAGTCATAGCTCTCTAGAAAGGCGAATTAGTTGACTAGATAGCTCCAGCAGTCTCACCCTTGCTGTAAAATGCTGTACTGCAGATAATTTTTTTTTTTACTAATTTTCGTACCACTTTGTCACCACTGTATATTTATTTTCATGTACATAAACATTCTGTAAATGAAGTAAAAATAGGATGAGAGAGAATAATGAGAATAATATGAAATGCCAAATGTTTATTGAACTATATGAAGCAACAAGTAACAGATGATGCTTGTGAAATAGCTGAGTATTTTCATTTGGCTTTTTTTTGGTCTCTTCTGTGTAGGAAATGTAAATGATACTGTTCTACAGTTATCTTTGTTAACACCTTGATCTGTGTACTTACCCTGGAGAAAGAAACGATGAATGAAGAGGGTATATCACCAATGTGGTAGTGTAAGCAGCCTGAAGCATAGCAACCAACAGGCACTGCTTTCTAAAGGTCTCAAATCTGGGCTGTGCTGTTCAGAGCATCCCTACTGTGGGGAATATCCACTCTAAACAAAGTGTGCAGCCTTTCTGGTCAAGGAAATAAGCTTTACTTGATAGATTTTTGCGTGCTTCCTGGTAAAAGCCTTGACACTTGGCAAATTCTAATGTGACTCTTCACAGCTCTGGCCATGTCTCAGCACACTTTAGCACATGGCAAAGCATGGATGTAAATCCTAGAGTAACCAAGGGGTGATGCTTCATCTTCCTGACACTATGAATAGAAATCTTAACCCAAAAGCAACTTTTTAATCTGAAACAAGGCTGCCTTTTCCCTTTATTTATTTATTTTTAATTTTCACGCCTATTAGTAGATGTGCGTGCTTATAAAACATGAATTAAGATAGAGCAGGCTTTGCTTTTGAGGTTAAAGTGAATTCCTCAAAAATTCTGATTATGAATGTTTGCTTTGGTTGCTGGGAAGCAATCATTACTGTCTAATGTTGATCAAGCATTCTTTGGATTTATTAAAAAGCAGAACTATGATTGAAACTAAATAATGCAAAGATGGAGAATGTAAGCTAAATATGACTGTCAATATCATTGTAAACTTTTTAGTTCTATTCACTTAGATGTATAGATGTTTTCATTCTTTTACTTAAACAACTGGATTGGCCTGTTGGAAAACGTGAAGTCTTTAGGAAAAGAACACTTACACTTCATTTACTTTGTATTTAGTAAACTTATTACAGCAAGGTAAGCGTACCATAAATGCTTTCAGATGCAAAATTACAGATTTCAGGAATATTTAAATAATACTAAACCTTAAGTGTTCATTAATCTGAAATACTTGAGTGATTATGTATTTACAATTCCCTCAAAACCTTTTTTTTTTCCTGCTGATAAAATATAAGAAGTGTTTTGCATAAGAAAATGGTGCATAACAAATTAAATGTAGGTGACCAGCTGCAAGGCACTGGTTGGAAGTAGTGAGGAGCTGAACAGTTTTTAAGTAAATACGGAATTAGATTGCATAATCCCCCTGATGCTTAAGTGCCATTAATAAACTAAATGCACTTGTAAAAGCAAGAATGTTGCAAAGCAAGAGGTCAGTCTGGATTTAAAAAAAATCATTGGATTTTTGACTGGTTTGTGTATATAAAATCAAAGGAACTGGATGTTATTTTTAAGTAGAGAAATAAAAACGTGTGTAAATGAAAATTGGGAAGAGGGGAATGGAGAAAAAGAAGCTAATGCTACTTGATCTGATACCAAACCATCTGGCAATATGCTGCCAAGTCATTATGTATCATTTATATGACTCAGTGCTAATTAGATGTGTGCAGATTATGCAGACTCCTTGTGCTTTCAAGGTTGGTAGAATGTTTAAAAAAATAATACTTGCAATATTAGCATGACATGTACTTGTTAAGAATTTCTGACTATAATCCAGGCCATTTTTTCACTGGAAAATATCCCAAGCACTGCAAAGACTTAATTTGACTTACTAAAAAAGAAAAAAACAACCCCCCACCAATATTAATACCGGTTATCTTCTTTATAGACACTAAGAAATTAATTTCTTTTTCACTAACTTGCTGAAAATATATTTACTAAGCAGTTAGGTCTGAACAGCACAAAAATGTAACTGATTAGATAGATATGCATACACTATAGGTTACAGTAAGCATGCTTTAAGAGAGCATGTAATAAAACATCTTTTAAAAGACTGTGTTTGTGGTACTGGGCCCTTGCACATACAAATCCAACACTTGCATGTTGTTTTTTCTCTTGAAAGAAATATGTGTAATTTCTCTGCTTGAATTGTCACATCAACAGCTGCCACAAATGGAGTACTAGGAAAGTTTCCTTTGAGCATTTGCAGCATGTCTATAGCTAGAATATAGCACAGCTATAGTTAGAATAAATTGACTATTGTAAACATATGACAAGCTTAAGCATGCTGCCACAGAAGTCTGTCAATAAAATGTATTTTTAGAATTTCAAACTTCAAGATGTCTTCATATGAAAGCTGCAAAAATCTGTTTGACAGACTATATGGATATTCTATTCATATAATTTGCATATATGGAAAATAAAAGATCAACAGGCTGACCTCTTGAGCTCCAGCTCCTTTTCCTCAAGGAATGTCTCAAAGGTGGTACGTACAAAACTATGAAAATTATTCTTTTGAGGAAAAAAGTAATAACGTGCTTGACTTAGAAATATTATATGTATTCCGGAAATTTAGGGCCTATGAAGGAAACATGTTTATTTGTTAGGTGACCATAACATTCAGTTATGAATGTGCTAAAAATAAGACAGCACAAACCCATAGTTGTCTAAAGGATTAACAAGCACGAAGAAGTAATATTTGAATAACTATCAGGATATTCCACTACAAGGGTATAGATCTTAAGACTACATTTTGTGATGTCGATACTTGTGCAAATATAAGTGTGACTTGTTATGTCTTTCTTGTATTGCTCTGTGTGGTTTCTTGTATTTATATTTATAAATGATTTGGAAGAGTTGAAGTTAACTCTTAAGAGCTGGCATCATGCTTTATGGTGCTCAGCAAAGTGGTGTAAGTAATCCATTGTTCAGATTTACTTAAAGACTTAAAATTACTTATACAAGAAAAGGGTGTATGCTTATAACAGCATTATTTTTTATTTTAGTAATATAATATTCTTCTAGTAGACAGATGAGAGCAAAGTTCAGAACAAAACTGAGATGTACGTTTTTAACAGTGACTGTCATTAATGAGCTTCTGGTAAACTTTTCCAATATGATAAACTTATTTGAATTCTTTATAGTTACAGATAGCTGCTCTTCTAATAAGTTACTGGCTTTTGAACATGAGCTAGATTCAGGGCTTTGTGGATGAAAACTGCATTGTTCTGCAAGAGACTTGATTTCAGTAGTGAAGTCCATGCACTGCTTGGAACAAGCTGAAGACTGATCCCTATGAGAGGCCTCAACTGAGTGGGCCCAAAGGTGTGAAACTAAAATAATGAGGACCTTAGGAAAATGCTGGTTAATGTGTTTTGACAGTCTAAATTTACCTGGGCTGTGCTAATATCTATTTTACAGAGAATTCAAACTGGAAACCAAAGAAATATTAAATATTTACCTGTTTTGAATTTTACCACATCTGTTATTCTGATGTCTGAGCCAAGCCTCAGCATACAGGTATGATTACTAATAAGCATTACAAGAGTTTGTTGGGGTTTTTTTTTGGTTGTTGGTTGTTTTTGGTTTGGGTGGGTTTGGGGGGGGGGGTGTTGATTGTTTTTGGGGTTTTTTTGTTTGTTTGGGGTTTTTTTTTGCTTGTTCTGGAATCAGTAAAGAAAAACAAGATCATGTATAACTTCTGGACATTGGGTGGCACCATTGCCTCACGTAAGCTACCATGTCGATGCCTCCTAGCTTCAGTATTACAGGGTTGGCTCAGCTCCCTTTTTGCCTTTCTCATAACTGTATAAGGCAAGTCAAAAAGCAGTCATCTTGCTTTAAATGGGAGTGGATTTTTTACCAAGAACTGATGTTGCTTAATTTAAGGAACTGCTGTTTGATTTCAAGTGCTAATCTACAGATCTGTGAAGCTCTTAACTGAAATGGAAAGATACTCTTTACAGGCAAGCTGCCATTGTGGGTGTGTGCCCCAGCCAGCCTGTTGGGAAGCTCTGCACTAATTTAAAAAGCAGGAACAGCACCTGTGTGTTCTATTGTTTTTAATAAAACTTCAGTTTAAAATTTCTTTTAATTAAGAGCCAATTTGCTCAGTGCCATGGCTGTTTAGACCCAGCCCATTGTATCTCCTGGGTGGCACTGGGAATGAGGAGATGGAAGAGGATACTTAGGATTGGTGGTGTTTTCTGTAAAGCTATGTAAAGATCTCTTTATTTCTCTTCAGCAGCATAGCATACTTGGCATGTCCACAGTGCAGTTTGCTTAAATGAATGGGTTTGATTTATAACTTTTTATTTGGGGGGTTTTGGTAATACTTTATGATTTTGACATCAATCTCTTAAACTTTTTTCCTCTGTGCCATGTTCATTTGATGTTGCTGTATTTGGTTCTGTACCACATGTGACATTCTGTGTTTGGTTTCTTTTTTTTTTTTTTTTTGATCTGGTGCCATTTGACTTTCTGTATCAAAAGCAAAATAAAATAATCCTAAGGGAGCAACTGCTCGTGGGCATAATCTAAAACTGCTTTGAGGCAAATACAGCCTGTGATGGGTGCAATTGCTCTGAAGTGGCTCTTAAGGGCTATTTCATAACTGAAAATTTCTGGTATGAGGAGTGCTCTGGTTCCTACTGTCAGTTTTGCTCAATAAGCTCCTCACCCTGTTAATTGTCCCAGATCTTGTTTTCTCTTACCCCTGTCAACAGTACAAAGCAGATGAGCACCTTTGAGATCAGAATGCAGAATTACTTTTCAGATGTAATGAAATACTCTTTTTTATTGCACAGGGATGTTTTTGTGATTTTGTTCATGTCAGGGACTGGTTATTAGGTGACTTTATTCATGAGCAAGGATGGTTGGCAAGCTCATAATTGAATCATTTTACCTTTAATGACTGACCTTTCTGCAAAATAATTATTTTTAAATGCTGCTTTGCCTTAAGTGGGGACACTCAACAGGCAGCAAATACCAACTTCTGTCCTTGGAATCACTTTATAAGCCCAAAGTTATAGACTGATTTTTTAGTGTGTGTCAGAAGGTGTCATTTGCTATTCATCTCCCTACCATCACAGAAAAAGACATTAATTTAGCCTGGAAAGGACCCCTTGAGTTAACCTGGTCTAATGCCCAGCTCAAAACAGGACTCTGGAGGTGCTAAGGCTCCTATCTAGTAGGTTTGGAATGTCTCCCAGGATGGAGATTCTTCAGCCTCTGGACAAACTTGTCTCAGTGTCATTTACTGTGAGAATGAAGACCTTAAGCCCACTGTAGGAGAGGATCAGGTTCAAGATCATATTAGGAACCTGAATGTGCACAAATCCATGGGACCTGATGAAATCCATCCGCAGGTCGTGAAGGAGCTGGAGAATGAAGTCAGTAAGTCACTGTCCATCACATCTGAAAAATCATGGCAGTCAGGTGAAGTTCCCCTCAACTGGAAAAAGGGAAATATAACCCCCATTTTCAAGAAGGGGAAAATGGATGACCCAGGGGATTACAGACCAGTCAGTCTCACCTCTGTACCTGGCAAAATCTTGGAGCAGATTATCTTAGAAAGCATGCTAAGGCGCATGAAAAACAACAAGGTGCTTGGTGACAGCCAGCATGGCTTCACTAAGGGCAAATCCTGCCTGACCAATTTGGTGGCCTTCTATGATGGGGCTACAGAACTGATGGACAGGGGTAGAGCAGTTGATGTCATCTACCTGGACTTGTGTAAAGCGTTCGACCTGTCCCGCATGACATCCAGGTCTCTAAATTGGAGAGACATCAATTTGATGAATGGACCACTCGGTGGATAAAGAACTGGCTGGATGGCCGCACACAAAGAGTTGTGGTCAATGGCTCAATGTCCAGCTGGAGACCAGTAACGAGTGGTGTCTCTCAGGGATTGGTGTTGGGACCGGTCTTGTTTAACATCTTTGTTGCTGACATGGACAGTGGGATTGAGTGTGCCCTCAGCAAGTTTGCCGATGACACCAAGCTGTGTGGTTCGGTTGATACGCTGGAGGGAAGGAATGCCATCCAGAGGGACCTTGACATGCTTGTGAGGTGGGCTGATGCCAACCTTATGAAGTTTAACCATGCCAAGTGCAAGGTCCTACACCTGGGTCGGAGCAATCCCAGACACAGCTACAGGCTGGGCAGAGAAGAGATTTAGAGCGGCCCTGTGGAGAAGGACTTGGCAGTGATGGTTGATCAGAAAATGAACATGAGCTGGCTTCAGTGTGTGCTCACAGCCCAGAAAGCCAACTGTATCCTGGGCTGCATCAAAAGGAGCATGACCAGCAGGTCAAAGGAGATGATCCTGCCCCTCTACTCTGCTCTCATGAGACCTCACTTGGAGTATTGTGCACAGTTCTGGTGTCCTCAACATAAAAAGGACATGGAACTGTTGGAACAAGTCCAGAGGAGGGCCACGAGGATGATCAGGGGACTGGAGCACATCCTGTATGAAGATAGGCTGAGAAAGTTGGGGCTGTTCAGCCTGGAGAAGAGAAGGCTGCGTGGAGACCTCATAGAAGCCTTCCAGTATCTGAAGGGGGCCTGCAAGGATAAAGGATAGGGACTCTTTATAAGGGACTGTAGCAACAGGACAAGGATTAATGGGTTTAAACTTAAATAGAGGAAGTTCAGGTTAGATATAAGGAAGAAATTCTTTACTGTAAGGGTGATGAGGCACTGGAATGGGTTGCCCAGGGAGGTTGTTCACCTCCATCCCTGGCAGTGTCCAAGGCCACATTGAACGGAGCCTCGGGTGTTACAGTTTAGTGTGAGGTGTCCCTGCCTATGGCAGGGGCGTTGGAACGATCTGCGCTTCTTGGGTTTACTATCAATAAAAGCTGTGAGATAGAATATCCCAAAGTCTTTGTTAAGCATAGTTCAGATGTTGCATCCTCCTAAGGATTTTTTTTTTATTTTTTTCCTGCCAAATTGGCATGTCATCATGAGTTTTGAGTTGGTTCCTGGACTGTCATAGCTAACAATGCAGCTGTAATGAGGTAAAACAGAATACATGGAAGCAATTTGTGAGATGTGCGACATCTTGAGACAATAATCCTGACAACTGATGTAGGTTAGTCAGTGCTTGAGTGACCATGTTACTTACAGCTCATCAAAACAGCAGGAAAGTTGAAGACATTCAGAGGACATTATTTGATCACTCACTGTCAGTGTTCCTTGAGCACCTTTTTTTTCCCTGCTTATATGACTTAGCACACAGCAGAGAAGGGCAGGTGATTCTTCATGCCACTGTTTCCTTGCTTGTAGGAATAGAAGCAAGGGAAAGTAGTCAACAAGGCTGCTAGGCTCTTTAAAATATACAGAAGCATTCTATTCCTATATGGTTTTGCTCCATTAAATCCCTTGCTGTTAATCTATACACTCTCAGTTGACAAGGTAGTATTTTCAGAAATTGATAAAAAGACACTATCAGGTAGTTTAGGACTAGCATTTTGTATTTTCAAATAGCTGAACTTGCAGGGAAAATATAAAGAGTTCAGGCATGCTTGGCAGAGGGAGTTCTGTGTCAGATGGAAGCAGTAGGAGACCAAACAGGAGAGAGTATGAAGTCTGACAGCTGTTTTAGGCAAGCTGTTCATTTGACCAAAGGAGTGGGCAATATGCCCTTGACTTATAATTGGAGACTGAAAAGTGTTATCCTTGTTTCTCCTTGACTGCAGTACAAAGATAGGAGCATAAATCATCTTCTTCTTATCCTCTGACAGCTGCAAGAAATCAGAATAATGCTTTCCCCCCCAGTTTTAACCTGGCTGCTATTTGTCTGCAGATACTGCTTCTGAAAAGAGTTTATACAATAGCTTTTCAGGAGAGTTGTACTAAAAATACAAATGAAAATATAAAATTTATAAAATAAAAATAATAATTTATAACTGAACCTTCTTGTCAGTATCATATGGGATTAAATAATTTCAGTCAGTTCTGAACCTAGATAAAACTAGATAAAATGAATTGATTTTTAAAATAATCTCATGAAGTAAAACTGGAGACGAACACTGAGTTTCCAAAAGTAGAAAGGGAAAATTTTACCATTGCACAAGATTGAATGTGACAAAGTATTAGTAAGAACTTAAGGATAATAAGGTCCTTCCCACAGGACTCTGACAGTCTGAATTCCTTCTCTGATACGATAGGTTAGTACAGTAATTTTCAGGTAGACTGGATAGTCTTGTAGTAAGTTTTTTTTGACAGGTTAGAGCTACTGTAGTAAAAACAAAGCCAAAGAGGAGGTAGAATTTTAGGAGTGCAGAATGACTAAAGCCAACACGGTATCTTCGTGTAGCTGTGGAAAACATCTGAGGATGGCCTAAGATCTTGTCAGTAAAAGTTAATGTCTAACCAATATGGCAAGAAAGAATGAGAATCAGATTCTGCAACTTAACTATGCTTAACTGATTCTTAACTGATTCTGTGGGAAGGAGGGATAGCTGAGTTACTCACTGAAGTGTAGGAAAAGAAGTGGGAAAGGTGTCAAGCAGGGTAGGGGGGAGGGAGAGAGGGAATTTAGTTTCTGGGTTCACCTTCCAAAGGATTCCGGATTCTGAATACCAGGCTTGCTTCTCTCCCACAGACCTATTGATTTACTGCTACTGTGTGTTTTAAACCACAAATTTAAGAAATACTAACTTGATAAGGCTGCAGCTATAGGTTATATTCTTTGTGCTACCTGAATAATAACAATTTTAGACTTCCTGCAGAGCTGAGATTATCCAGTCAGAAATTTGAAGGTGTGGTGTATAAGGGAGACTGAAACACTGACATCTAAGCATCTGTCTTAAGGCATTTTTGGGATCTTTGTTAAGTTTCACAGTTTGATAGGTCTCCTGCTTCTCATCTGTGGCTTAGTCTGTAATGGCTCAGAGTTGTTAAAATACCTGTGTCCTCCTGTGCTACCCTGAGTGTATATGCTCTGCCTCTTGGACTATCTTATAAACCTCAGAAAATACACCACCTAAGGTGTTTTCAGTGTTTCTGTGCAGGATAACACAGAGGAGCTGTTAGGTGGGCATTATTTGCCCCATCTCTGATCCATCTTTACAGTCTTCTAAGAATTTGTGAATGATCAGTTAATGCCCAGTGGATTTCCAGGTCCTTTCTAAAGCATGTGTAATCTAATAACAGCAGTCTCTGTCATGAGAAATTGCTTGGTTGGACCCTGTCCCCAGGACTCTGCTATAGCCTCAGACTTGTTCTCCATAAGGTTTTGATTGAGTGCCCTAAGACTTACCTCAGGATGGAGTTTTCAGATTTTAAGTGCAAGTGGTCCGCAGATTAACCCAGGAAGGAGGGAGACTAAACTCAGACTACCTTGTGGGCTACCACAGGGGTTGACTGGATCTCCCTTGGTGGGTTGGTTGTCAGGCTTACAGCACACATGTGCTCCGATACTGCAGCTTTATCAGTTCTGAACAAGGAAGGTCATGTCCCAGGCCAAGTGTCACTGACCAAGTCCTGTCTACATCACTCGGTCCATTGTCAGTTTCTCCTGCAAAGAGCTACTTAGAGTGGTCTGAGTGGGATAAGGGAGTGTAGCTAAAAGCTGAGCAGTGCTGTCTATCACAGCTCCCACGCTTGAGCTCACTGTCCAGCATCTGAGAAATGTAGATTGGGTATTATCTGGATGTTGTGTTCCTAATGGAATGGAATTACACTCTGGAGTACCTGAAAGCTGTGAAATTCTGTTACCAGATGCATATTCTGATTAAAAAAGGAATCGTGTGATTCTGAACCCGTTTGGATTGGTGTTGCTGATTTCCTCAGGAATAGTCATAGTTTAGAGTTATGGCCCTAGTTACATAACTTGTCAAGTAGGCCAGAGGTCAAACTGCAGCAGCCTAAGGAAGAGCTGGAACAGAACTTGACTCCCATGGTGAACAGGCATGTCTCTGATGAAGGGACCTCGCTATGCCATCCATTGAAAGGATCTGCCTGAGTACACAGTCATTCCTGGATTAGTTGAACTTTTTTCAAATGGTTAACACAACAAAGTAGTTCAGTCAAGTTCTCAAACTCACAAATTGCTGTTGTGTCTGGTTCATAATGTCCCTCTTCTCCCATACTGTAGTCCTTCTACAGGAACAGATGACAGCAATCGAGAGTATCCCAAATCACTGCTGGCTGCCTGCACACAAGGGCAAACCATCTCTGAACCATGTGCCAGTCTGGCCAGTCTTAAGTGTTGTCACCCTGTCACCTGTCTCTGAACTACTCCCACTGTTCCCTTTTTGTCTGATAGGGTAATCTGAGTATTTTGTTCTGAGCTAGAAAGTTTGCTTGTCCCTTGGTTGATGTAAAGGGATAGGTGAATAATACATTAGCCCAAATGGCACAGCTGGAATACAAGTAAGGTTTGTAGATATTGCGGGAATTCATCTTTATGCTTGGTAAAATATAAATACTTGCCATAACATCAAGCTTACCTTTCCATTGGGGCTACAGATTCTTTGAATTTCTTTTTTTTTTTTTTTTTGGTAGCCATTTGATTCATGAAAAAGGCTAAAGGTGTAAGGACTTACATTTACCATGCAAATAATTCTGTTGATCTCTTAACTACTTATGCACATAAAGTGTTTTCAGGACCAAAATCGTAGGTGAAAAGTTGTCCCCATTCCAGTCACTGACAATTCTCAGTTACTGAAACATTGCTTTGTCTCTCGCATCAAATTGTCAAGCAGAAGTAAATCAGCAAAGCTTCACAAATCCATAAGAAAAAAACAACCTCAGAAATTTTAGAGGCCTCAGTGCTACAATTTAGGATACCTCCTACAATTTATTTCCTCCTTCCTCCTCCCTGCCCTGAATATAGGATTATAGTGCTATTTTTCTTAACAGTTGGAGAACATTAGGTTTGGTGATGGAGTTCCATATTTCTAGGGAGGTTGCTACAATGAAATTTCTCTTATATTTGTGAGAAACCAAACATAGATTACACCTCAGCAAAAGGTTGTAGGTTTGTTTTTTTACTGACTTGCTGCACAGGGAAACATTTGACCATGGGTGTATCTTAATCATTTTGAAAGTGAAAAGCCTAATGTTAATCCTAGCTGTTGTGGGCATGATCTTTGTGATGTGAATACTTCTGGCAACCAGCACATTACAGGGAAATGGGAGAAAGAGCAGGAAACAATGCTGGAACTTACAAAGGAAAACAAATGCAGATGTACATGTGAATCCTCCTGCTTAACACCTTTTATACTGTTATAAGCATAGAAATGGAAGGATAACTTTTTGTTCCTGGTAGTGAGCATGCATGTAGAATCAGAGGGAGAAATGTAGTATGAAAGTTCTTATTTAAATTGCACTAGAATTATTTTTCTTGAGGCCAGTAACTTCTTTAGTGATTCAGAATGTCAGCAACAAGCACTAGTTCTGTAAGGCAAGTAACAAGCTGTGGTAGCTCACTTTTGTCTCCTGTTTTTCCTCTCTATTCAACCCCCTGCAATATAAGAGAGGTAGCAAATATATAAACCAAGTCTAACACCCCAAGGCAGTCTGGCTGATCTATTTCTGTTGAGAAAGTTTTAGTGTGAAGTCTGCTACCAGGTTACAGTGATATAAATGTGCTTGCCTGAACTTGCAGTGAGAATTATCATTTATCACTGTGGAAAGATTTCCATTCATCTTCAGAATTCCCTCTCTGGCATGCCTAAGGTACCCTATTGTATGCACTTCATCTGTCAGAAAAAGAATGCAGTAGATCTAGAAGCTGCGGAGTTTTGAGGAAAGGTCCAAGCTAGGTCCCATGCTCTTGGCCTTACTGGATTAAACATACAGGAAGTTTAGGGCTGACCTGGGCACTGCATTGTTTGTCTCCAGTGAGATCAGGGTGTACTGAATGGCTGGGCTGGTAGGAGGGTTCTGCGTGGAAAGTATTTGACAGATACAGACCCGGCTGGGATTCACGTCTGCGCATACCCAATGTGTAAGGAAACCTATGGGCACCGGCTGTTACGTTCAAAATCACTTTTAAGGGCAAAGAGGTATGCCTTGAGTAAGGTCAAGAATTTCTTGTTACTATAGTTTAAATATGAAGAATCTGTAATTATTAATACAGGTCTAATTGCCATGGAAAAAGGAAGAGTGGCAGTGCAGTGCAAATTTTATACACACTGCTGGGTTTTTCCTCCTTTTCCTGCTCACCCTTCTCTGGCTCCCCAGCATCTGGACGTTGAGGTTCTGTGGTCTGGGGTGTACAGGTGGATGTCGCAGCAAGCTGTCAGCATGTCAACTGCTTCACTGGGACAGGTTTGACGTTCCTGTGGAGGGTTTCTTCTTCCTTGCTCCAGGATCCATGTGGGGTATTTTTTTTCTTTGCAAACAGGTTTTACACTCTTGATCTTTCTTCGTTCATATGCAGCTATTCTGTCAAAATTTCCTGCCTGTATTGTGACATTTATGCATGTCAGGTACTACTTCTTTGTTTCCCATTATCACTAAAGCCAGTTTTGTGCAGCTCCTGGTCTGCGTTTCTTTATGGGTGGTGTTCCCTATGGGTGAGCTGTGTGCAGCTGTGGAGTCCTCTGGTGCCAAGGCTGTGGCCTGCTCATGTTGAGTGTCCGCACTCAATGATGCCCCTCATGTCTCCACTCTTGGTTGCACAGACTTCAACCTAGAAACCCTGTCTGCGGACTTTCTGTGAAGTCAATGTCGCGTTGAGAATTAAAGTTGTTATTGGTTTGGTACCAGCAGCTGGATGGTCAGTCACGGCTGCGTAGAGCTATGATCACCATGACAGTACCGGGTGCCCTGTTCCGTCCCTAAACCGGCCGGGGCTGCCGGATCTCCGGGTGCCCGGGGACTGCCCGGCACGGGGGTGGGGGGGAGCGCCTGTGCCGCTGCTGCCCGCCAGAGGGCGCCGCGGAGCCGCTCCGCCCCGTCCCTCCCCCCGGCGGTGGCGGCCGGTTGTGCCGGGCCCTGGCGGGGGGGCGGCACCGCCAGCAGCCGGAGGCCGCTCGTCCCGCTCCTGTAGCAGAGGCGGGCCGGCGGGCACACCGAGCCCCGCTCCCCGGACCCGGCCGTGCGCCTCGGCGGCCCGTGGCGACATGTCTCGGGAGCCCGGCTGCAAGCGCTGGCTCCTCGCTGCATGCGCTCACCTCTTCTTCCTTCTCCCGCTGCTCCGCACCCGGGGTGAGTGGCCGGGGGCTGGACCGGGCCGCCATAGCGAGGTGAAGGGAGGAGAGCCGAGGAGCTCGGCCGCTCTGCTATGATGTTGAGGGGAGGAGAGTACGGGACGGAGCTGGAGAGCTGGGGGTGCCCTGGAGCAGCCGCTTCCTCGCTCGTCCGTCCCGCCCCGTGGGGGAAGCGGGCGGGCAGACGGCGGAGCCCCATCGCCGAAGTTTGTTGGAGAGCCGGGCTGCAGCCCGGAGCGGGCGGCGCGGGCTCCCCTCAGCGGCCCCTGCTCACGGAGCCGGTGCTCCCAGAGCCCGCACCGCTCCCCGTCCTCCGGGCCCCCTTCCGCACGGTGCGCGGGGAACGGGGCGGCCCTTCTGTCCTGGGCGGCGCGGGGCAGCGGACAGCCCTAGCGTGGAGCCCGGCCCTCGGGGGACAGCTCCTGAGGTCAGGGGGATCTCCACTGAAGAGCCAGCTAGCACCCACTTGTGCTCGGGTTGGGATCAGCACCTCTCTGAGAGGAGTTGCTGAGGGGGGGTGGAAAGGCAATATGGCCTGGGTAAAATGTCAGCGTAGAGAAAAAACACCGTATTACTGTGTTCTAGAGATACTCTTAACGTGTCTAGCCGGGTGGGAGAAGATGAGAAGGGTTAGTAGTGTGTCGGCAGTTGGATCGCTACAGGCTCTTGGAGTCAGGAGCTGTTGCCGTGAGTGTAAGAGAGAGGAACAGATACATCTGTTCTGTTTCCCGTTATTTCTGTTCCTGAATGCTTCCATCTCTGTCAGCAGAGGCTGGTCAGTTTGTTCTGAGCTGCTGGATTTGTTTCTCTTCCTCTCCTGTGGCTTGTGGATCAAAATCCTGCAAGGGAAACTTGGTACAAGTAAATCCTGATTCCAGCAAAGTAAAACAGTGATATTTTGATTTTTCTAATGTAAACCCCTTTTTCTTTCACCTATGCAGCTTGGGCTTTGGAGGAGATCTAATACTCCACTGCTCTCCTAAAGCTGTATTTCATTCTTTCCAGGATGAGTAGTTTTGCTCCAGTGCTTCAGCAAGGTACTGTAGCACGGGTAACCTTGAACAGATTGTCATCACAGTCAGAGAATAGCAGCTTCAATTTTCCCTGTCTATGTATGTATTTATTGTACATACATACATACCCACCCGCAGGCAGAAGGCAGCAATGGTGAGCTCTTGCTTGTGCAATTACCTCTTGTTTAGTAGGTCTCAATTAATGCTGGTATACAATTTGTTCACAGGACATTTGCTGCAGTATCATGGTTTGCTTGTAGTTTTAAAAGTATCTTTTTAAATTAAAGTATTTTCTTTCCTAAAAACCCCATGCTTTTGAGACAACCAGTCAGCCTTGCTCTTGGAAAACAGAAATAATCTGGATTACATTTTGCAGAACAAAATAGCGTGTATAATGGCAGTTCAGTCATTTCATACATTGGGGCTTGCAGGTGGCAGCTTGAAGAATGGGAGAACGTATTCAGATGATATTGTTTGGTCTTAATTCTAGACAATCATAAGGGATAATGATGATGCTTTTACTGCTTTTCTTTGCTTGCCTTTATAATAAAGATAGTGGTGTACACAGCACTCATTTAGGCACTTCAGTGGTTTGCAGTGGTGATTTCAGCTGCCTTCTTCCCATGTGTGCCATTAGTGTAAAGAAGTAAAATGAGTTGCTTTTATGACAAGCTTCAGATGCTGGAAATTTACCCGCATCACCCCCTCCACCTCCTCCATCCCTCTTTCTTTAAACTGTAATTAAAAATATAAAGAAATTATATTTTAGATGTTTTGTCTATACAACATAATCAGTGGCTTTTATTATTTGAAGTGGTTATTATTAGTCAGGGGTTTACCGTACATAAGTCATAGAATCGTCACTTTTTTGTGGCTCATTTAAACTGACCCACAGCCCTGTGAGGTGTTTGGAATGACTTTGGGGTCAGTCAGCTCCAAATCAGACTGTAAAAGAGGAAGATAACAGAAGTGTTGCCTTTCTGCTTCAAATGGATTTTGTCTGGAAAAATGAACTCCTCAGTTTTTAACATCCTTTGCACTCAAAGGATGTAGACCTTTGGAATTGTTGGAAAGGGTAGTACTGAAGAAAGGATTGCATCTACATTTATAATGCGGTATTATATCACTATATATATTTATACAGTATACTGTATTTTAATACCACAGTATTTACATCCATTTTCCTAATAGTTTGTTGGCACATATGCCTGCAGTTCTGCCACTAAACAATGATAATAAACGATTTTTACATTCTCACATTATAAGCAAGTCTGTTTACTTGAGAAAAATAAATAGGAATTGAAGCTCCTTCCATTACATTCTCTGATTAAATTTCTGGGTTTTGAATGGAAAATCCAAAATGTTGTCTAGCTTTTTCAGTGGATTTTAGTTCTACTTTCAAAAGAAATAAAGATAAGGATGATGAAAATAAAGAGCTTTATTTCTAAAATTTCTTTCCTTTTCCTACTTATCCTCAGTTTTTGAGCATTTAGCAAAAGGAGGGGAGGGCTGGCAGTTGGCACATTCAGTTTATCGCTGCTTGTGCCAGATGATGTGAATAGCTGTGTGTTAGCAAACTTCAATGTATGCAGTTCATCAAATAATGACATAACAAAAACAAAATTAAGAGGTGCATTTAAGACAGTGCCTTGTTGGATTTTTTTTCTGCTTTAGAAAGCTTTGTTTGCAGGAAATGGTGCAGTTAATCATCTAGCCTTTTTGGTTACTGTGATGTCTAGCAGCTTGAACTTCTACCAGCTAATCAGTTCCTTCTCTCAATGTTTTCCCTGTGCTCTGTGGTAAGTCAGTGGTCCCTCTGAGCTATGCTTGCACTTCATCAAAAAACTCAAAGGGACTGGAGGAAATCCTGGATTTAGCAAAGGTACCTCTAGCTCCAGAGATTGGTATGTGTCTTGGGGAGTTCTGTACTGAAAGAAATCTGTTGCAGTTGTCCGAATTAATGTTTGGAAAGTTACTGTTTTGTTATAGGAACATCTAATAGCTCCCAGACATAGATCATGCTTGTTTGTGCATGTGCATTTTACAGACAACAAAAAGATATCCTTGCCACAGAGAGTTTACTTTTCTACCTGTGTTGTACAACTAATCTGGTCATGTGTAATTGCATGTGTGGTTAGAATTCTTCTATCTGAGGTCTCCTCCTGGGCATGCCTTTCTCTTGGGAGTGAATTGTGGGTGGATGAATTAATCTTAGAGATGTCCAGTTGTGCTCAGGTACTGCATTTCCTACCTATGCTGTAGCTCCTTTGTTGATCAGCTGTGTGCCAGCCACATTTACCACATTCTTCTGATGCCACCTTTTTCCCAGTAAATCCTTAGAAGAGGGTACTTACTTCCAGGCTGAGATATCATGTTGCTCAGACAGAACAGTCCTGGCCATAACTTAGTAAGACTTGAATTTACTCCACAAGTGCATCCCAGTTTACTTCTTAAGACTGCTTTACTCATGTCTAATTATGTGTGCAGAGTAGATTTGCTAATAAGGTAGTAGAGGGGCCACAGCATATTTGTTGTTGAAATAAATTCATACAGTCTGCCTTAGTGAAAAGCTTGGTTGCTGCTGTGTGAGGACTGGAGGATTTTCTTCTGGTGTCTTCAGGGGTCTGCTAATCTGTTTAGTGAATGGTTCTTCAGTAGTTTAAAAATAGTCTGAACAGTTCTGGTCTTATTAAAATGTACTAAGTGGAAAAAGTCTTCCTGGAATTTTTAGTGTAAAAGATAAGTTGTTTTAATATGTTTATTTGTTGGAAAAGAAGGGGAGGCTGCATGTCTGAAATCACTGGGAATAAGAGTAGTGGTATAGAGAGACACTTCAGCGTTCATCAGAGATATTGATTTGTTTAATAAATGATATGTGGGAGTGTTGAAGTTGCGCTGTGTCAGGACAGCTGCAACAGAAGTAATTTTTAGCCAGGCATGTTCAGTCTACCACTGTCCTCAATACAGAATGATTGATGTGGAAGGTAGTCCAGGAGAGCTGGTTGATTTTTCCAGGTTCATCTCCTGCAAGCTCAAAAATGATCCATCCCCATGTGCAGGAAGGCAAGCAAAGATGGCAGGAGGCATGGACAAGGAGCTCAAAACCCAGACGTGAAAAGGAAGCATGCAAGAGGTGGAAACAGTGTCAAGTCATTCCAGGAGTAATATGGAGACAGTGTCTTGAGAGCGCAGGTATGCTGTTAGGGAAGCCAGAACCCACGTGGAGTTGAATCTGGCAAGGTATTTGACTTGTGAAAAGCAAGAAAAAGGGCTTCTACAGGTGTATCAGCAGCAAAAGGGAGGCTAGGGGAAAATGTTTCTGAATCTGGGGAGAGTCTTGGTTAAAAGAAGAAAATGAAAAAGTGTGAGGAACTCAAAGCCTTCTTTACCTTGGTCTGTACGGGTAAGACTCACCTTTGGCAGTCCCAGGCCCCTGAAACACATGGGAAAGTCTGGAGCAAGGAGGATTTACTCTCACAGGAGGAGGACCAGCTCAGGGGACATTGAAACAAACTGGACGTGCAGAAGTCCACAGGACCTGATGGGAGGCACCCACAAGAGCTTGAAAGTGTCAATGCAGGCCACTCTTGGTAATCTTCTAAAGGTTGTGGTGGCTGAGGAAGATTCCTGAAGGATAGAAGAGAGCAAATGTTGCTCTTGTCTTCAAGGAGGGCAAGGAAACGAATCTGGGAAAACTATAGGTTGGCCAGTGCCATCTCAATCCCTGGGAAGGTGACAGAGCAGATAGTCCTGGATACTATTACCAACCAAGGAAGGACAAGGCAAATATGAAAGGACAAGAAGGTGACTGGGAGATGTCAGGATGTTTTTATAAAGGCCTGACCAACCCAAAAGACTTCAGTGATGAGAGGAGTGCTTTCATGAAAGTGGGGAAAGCAGAGGACATTATCTCAACTTTAGCACAAAGTTCAATACTGTATCCTGTAATGTCATACACAAACTGATGAAGTATGGGCTAGATATGTGGACAGTGAGGTGAATAGGAAACTGACTCACTGGGCTCATGGGCTCTGATCAGTGGCATGGTGCACTCTAGGGTTGATTATGGCTGCAGTAGTGTTTAATCTCTTCATTAATGGCCTGGGCAGTGGGACAAGGTGAACCCTCAGCAAGTTTGCAGAGGAATTAGAATGGGTAGGAGGGGTTGATACACCAGCTGGCATTCAGAGGGACCTTAAGGGGCTGGAGAAACAGGCAAACAGAAAACTTGGACAACCAAGTTCAATATAAGGAAATGACAAGTTCTGCCCCTAGCAAGGAAGTCACCCTATGCACCAGTGCACACTGAGGGCACACTGTTTGGAAAGCAGCTTTGCAGAACCTGAGGGTCCTGTTTGGCAACAAACTGACTGTGAACCAGCAGTGTGCCACTGTGGCAGAGATGGCCAGCTCTCTGGGTCTGCATTAGGAAGAGTTTCCAGCAGGTCAAGGTACCTGGATCCTTCCTATCTGCTCAGCCCTGGTGAGGCCCATCTGGGGTATTATGTCCAGGTCTGGGCTCCCCAGTACAAAAGAGACATGGATATACTGGAGTGAGCTCAGCAAAGAAACATGAAGATAATAATGGGAGCACCTGAGGTATGAGTTGAGGCTGAAGGAACTGGAACTGTTCAACATGGAGAGAGAAGGTTCAGGGAGAATTTTACCAACATGTGTAAATACCTAATGGGGGCAGTAAAGAAGACAGAGCCAGACCCTGTGGGGCCTAACAGCACATGAGGTAGTTCATACAAACTGAAACACAGGAAACTCCATTTAAACATGTGTTGGTTTTTTTTTTTTTTTGTTGTTGTTGGTTTTGTTTTTTTTTTTTTCTTTTTACTCTTAAGAGTGATTCAACACTGGAAGAGATTGCTTGGAGAGTTTATGGAATGTATCCTAGGAAATACTCAAAACCTGACTAGGCAATGTCTTGAGCATCCTGCTGTCATGGGAGTTGAACTAGATTATCTTCTGGAATCTTTTTCAACCTCAACAATTCTGTGGTTCTGTAATATGAAGATAAAGTAGGTTGTTAAAATAATCCCCTGAAGAGGAATTAGCTGTGCTCTCAAAAGCATAGTAGCAGTAGGTCTTCCCCCCCCCCCAGGTTATCTGAGTGTTGTTTGATTTGTTTCAAGGATCATGTGCATTAATATTTTATAAATCTTAGAAGCAGTGTGGCACAGGGTTTTGAATGTTGCAGGGAGAGAGGCAGCATCTTTGAGTAACCCTGATCTAATGGGAGGTGTCCCTGCCCATGGCAGGGGGATTAGAACTAGACGATCTTTAAGGTCCTTTCCAAGTATAACCATTCTATAATCTCTTGTCAGTCACAGTTGTTTCAGTTCTCTCGTGTTGTTTCCACAGCCGAAAGTCCTGAAAATTCTGCTTGTGTTCAGTTTTGCAACTAAGCTGAATTTACTAGGGGATGCTTCTTCAGGTTGATACTATGTAATTGCCACATTTCCCAGTGTAACAGTGTTTTGTGTTGATCTTGTAATTAGGATCTTGTAAAGTAGATGATGCGGGTCTGGTTTGCGTAGGGGAAGATATTCCTTATTTGGAGTTGTAAGTACTGTTACGTTGGAAGAGAAGGAGGAAAATGACCAGAACATGCTGTCAGCAAGGGATATGATAGGCATATTGAGGTATTCTCTGTGCACTTTTGAACTAGAAGTTCAAAACATTTGCTTGAGGATAACATCTGGGGGAACACTCCTATTTGTACTCGTCTTTTCTTCTTCCTGGCTAAATGCTTTACTGAAGTGTAGCTATGGTCAACATGAGTCTACTGGTTTAGAATTTTGGGATGTCTGGATCTAGTGGTGTGACTTGAGATTCAAATTAGTCGAGACCTGAAATGTAATTGTGAAACTCAACTCCTAGACACTTCATGAAATTAGGTCTCCAGCTGCAAGAGCATAGGGATACAGCTAATTAGAGATGGAGTGCCACAGCCTTTGGACAATCTTGTCTTCTTGCTTTCCTGCATTCCAGGTTTCTAGCATCTCAAAGGAATTGACAATTGCTATAATTCACTTTAAATTATTATTGGTTGAAATTGCTTTCAAACTTGCAGTGAGACACTTCACTGAATCTGTTGATCTTTTTCTGTCCCAGTTCTTAAGAAACCCATCAACTTGACCATGATGAGTAGTATCTTGAGTTCCTTTCAGATTATAGCAACTTACTTGCATTAGTGTCTCTTTAGTACCTTTAAGAAAAAGACTCCATATGAAGACCCTTAGCAAACCTATGTTAAATGTAACTACTTTTACAAATGAGCAAGGCGAGACGAATTGATTAGGTGACTACATCAACCAGAAAAAACCTCACAACTCAGAACCCTTTTTTATGCTGAATTTTCTAATATGAAGCAGAAGTGTATGTATAAGATGGTGTCAGTATAAAAGGTTTAAGATATAATGCTCAGTCTGTGCAAATTAGCTCTTTGGGGTCTCTGTTCTTTTTTTAAATGTTTGTTTTCTTATACATTAACAAGGTTGATTATTGTTCGAAGATGGCATTCCAAGCATGTGACAGCTATCATAAAGCTTGATAGAAATTTCTGTCAGGTGCTGTCAGTTTCTGTGGTTCCAAATGTAGCTTTGGAACTCCAAATGTAAACCTAAAGATAGAGTCAAGTGTAGGTGTCCCTTTATGCTGTTCTCAAGTGAACTACTGGACTGAACAGATTTTATTGTTTTGTTTCGTTTTAATGGAATTTATTTGTCTTGAAGCCAAAATAAATTGGCTTCATGTCAAAGAGTGATCTTTTCAGGAATGTATAGGAATAGAATTGTCAGGCAGCAAATGTATAAATTCTGTAAGAACGGACTGCCTTATGTTCCTAAGATTATTACAAATATAGTAACATTGGATGTGAAAATATTCCTAAATTTTTTTTTCTTTTGCTGCAGAACTTTGTCAAGTGTGAAAATGAGCTCCTATAAAATGAAAAAAGTCTGCTTTTTCTTTCAGCTTTTGCTGTAATTCCTGAAGGTGCAGAAGATGAGATGGAATTACCAGTGCTGCAGGTAATAAATTTTAATTGCTGGAGCAGGAACATTTGACAGACATTATAAAATCATCTAGAAGACACCAGAGCAGAAGGCTCAACATCTGTGACATTGATTATTTTGATCATTGACTTCAGTGGTACTAAATGTCACATAATGTCTTTCTGTTCTATGTACCATATGAGATACCTTTAATGGGACACAAGTTGCGCTTAGCACTACTCTTCTAGTATTACTAGGATATTTGTTTATCCCATGGATTCTTAGCATTACTGGAATAAACTTACACTTGGTAGTTTTGGTTTCTTATGCTGGATTTGCTGACTTATTCTGATATTTGTGTGAAGAGAAATGGGTTTGGAGGGTTTTGTTGTGGAACAAAATTATAATTTAGAAAACAATTTATTTTCTCTATTCCAGGATCAGCTGAAGAGTGCGTTGGAAACTTACAGTAAAAAAACCCTGGCAATTTCGCATTGCTTGTAAAAGTCGATAGTGTTATTGCTGTTGAGAACAGGTTTTGGGTAGTTTTTATTAGTTCAGACATGGGGTTTACTTTCTTCTGGGTTTTCTTAAATATCTAATACACTGAGAGAGAAATGGCTGCCTCCCTGCTAAATGAGCATTATTGCATTTTGCTGCCCAAGCCGTGGCTCAAGTAAAGCTTGCATATGAAATTTCAAACTAACAGGTTAGAAGTAATGGTCAGAACTAGACTCAGCGTTAAATAACATAATAGGTGTTAGGTGTGTAGGCATCTGTCTCCTTCAGCAGAATTCTAGCTACCTTCTTTTTTTTTTATATGTATATATGCGTAACAGAAATCTATGTATGTATAAAAAAGGCTTAAGGGAGGAAAATTAAAGTCTGGAATGAATCAAGAGTTAGAATCTATAAACACCATTCAGATCTAGTGATCTCACATCAAATGCAATAGAAGCATGGTCTGAGATGCGTGTTTCTGAACAATTTTTGGTGTTGATTATTGCTCAATCTACAGTAATTTTCATAAATGAAAAAAATGCCTTATTGTAAACTGCTGATCTGCTGCAGTGTCTGGGAGACTACATAATGTCATTCTGTTTTCATTACTTGTAAGTTACTGCTTGTCAAATTCCATTACGGTTTTAATCTAGCTGTTTATAATGTTATTATTCCCGTGTAGGATGTAATTTATGAAGGCTTTCCTCCTATTTGGGTGTTTCGAAACCTTCTCTCAGGTGACCTCTTCAGGCCAGAGTACTTTTTTTTTCTCCTTTTTTTTTGTTTTTTTTTTTCCGTAGTTTTAACAGGGAAGTGATAATGAGCAACAATGATTTTGTTTTAAGAAAGGTAACTGTAAAATATGGCTTGTTCATTACACTATGAACACACACACTGTGAGCTATGAACACCACGGAACACACACTGTTTTGTTTGCATAGAAAACTAATCTTCCCTTGTTGTTTATGATGCAGATTAACTTTAAAATGTGTGTGTATTATGCTATAGGATGGCAGTACTGTGTATAGTCATTGAAATAAGATAAGATTTTTTTCAACTGTGTTGACCTCATCAGCTAAAAAGGGTCATAAACATGGGTGCACTCTTGAAAAGGTTTTGCAGATGGGTACCAAGGAAGTCAGAGCTTAGGCATTTCAGTGTAAAAGTCAGTTCTGAACAGAGGAAGAGATCATCTGATGCAAGTAGGACTAAAAGGATTAGATGGATATGATATTTTAAAAAGGGGGGGAGGAAAAATGTGTTTATAAATAGGAATTAAGTCACAAGGCTAGGAAAACTGCAAAAGAGCCTATTACTGAGGAGTGCCTTGTATGGCATTTCTGTCTGAAGGTCTTAAAACACTTGAACCAAGATAAATACCACAACAACCTTATGCAATTAGTAAAGATGATCTTGATTTTTACATGTGAAGAAACCAAAGCACTGAGGTGCTGTTACCAGGGAGAAATTGGGCAAGAAATGAAGGCTCTGTTTTCCTTCCTGTGATTTTTGTAGGAAGCACATAGCTATTTCTCCAGTTCTATCTCTCTACCAGTCTTAAACAACACCTTTCTATCCAGCCTTTGTTATGTAGCAGCAATTGAGTATGCTCCTAGGATATTTTTGTATGTGTGTCTTGGTTTCCTGGTTAATAATGCAGATGCAGTGTCATTGTTGTCTGTTCTTCAGCACTCTGCTAAAACTCCATCACAAATGTATGTAGGTGATACCTGAGTAAATCTCAGTGACGTCATGTTATGTGCAACAGCCTTTTCATACTTATTTGTCTTGCTGTCAATTGCTCTTGAGTCTTTCTTTAGGAATTGTGTTTCAATAGATGCTTGATAGTGGATCAAATGAGTAAGAGTGTACTGGGCTTTTTTTACATACTGTATTATAAAGCTCCATATTCCAGTATTTGTGCTCAGGAGATACAAGTATATAAATATATATATATTTATATATATATAATTATATATATAAAGACATGACATTCTCTTTTTTTTCCTATTATTCTGTTACTGTATTGTCTAAGTAATAGTATAAAAACATGCAGAATATCTGTTTCAGTTCTTGACAATGAAAAGCTTTTTCCACTAGTTTTTATTGGCTCTTGAGTTAAAACCTCTGTGTGTGCATTTACAATCTGACAAATGCTTTGCCTCCCTGTGTTTATAGAAATATCTGAGTTTTTGTGTGTATTCTTATTTTGCTTTCTCTCCTTTCATCTAGAAGTCTAAAAAAAGTGGAACAATTAGTAAAATAAGCGGAGGTAAGTCATGTACAGTCTGTGTTTGTTTTCACTTGTGGCTGCCTTTTTAGTGTAAATAAAGTATGGTTATGCTTTGAAAAGTGACTGTGTGAACAGTGCCTAAATGCTCAATAGCATTGTTAGTTAATTGCTGATTCCAAAGTATTTCATCTTTTTTTTTTTCTTTGCTTATGTAGTCTCATCAAACAGAAGTTTCTTGATCTTTGTGCTTGCAATTCTTATAGTTAACCAATTTTCTGAAAATGTGTGCTTGCACTTTGAAGCTGGTGCATTGCTTTTTGTGGTCCATAATATGTTGAAATCAAATTTCATGACACTTAGTAGCTGTTTTAAAGAATGAAAAAATTATTAAAAAAATAATATGAAACTGAATTTTACGATTCTGCTAGGCTCTTGTGGTACTTGCAGTAAGTAGTGTTACTTACTGTAAATTACTTGTAACAACTTGTAATAACTTTGTAATATCTAGAAGAAAGTATTTAATTTTTTTATATATATCTAATAATTTTTTACTGGACGTGAGATAAATTATGAGAAAAAAAATCTGCAAGCTTCTGCCTTTTCTGAAAAAAAGGCTGATGTCCAGCAAAAAAGTATACAGACCTGAAATAAGGAATTGCAGTCTCTGCACTATAGCCTAGGTCTGCCTCTGCTTTACTACAGCAGCTCAGTTCTTAAAGCAACTTGGACTCTTAATAGTACTTCTCATTCTTCTAAAACCTGAGCACTTGATTCTGCTTGTTCTTAAAGAGCTGCCTTAACCATGTCTTTGTTGTAGTAGTTTCTGAGTAGTTGCGTGCTGGTTCTGACATCAAAGCTGAACACAGAGATTTGGCGTGCTTTTAGTGGAGCTGCTAACAGAACTGTGAATGGTGCTGAGAAGATCTGGTTTTCGTTGGCTTTTTTGAACTTGGTTGCAAGCTATGGCCCTGACACAGATAACCACTTCCGTGGAAAATAACAAAGTGCCTTGTCCCATTTATGTCCCATTTTGCCATTGAAAGTTCAGGACCTGTCAATGGAAGCTTTATTGCTCTGTTTCCCTGTTAACCCAACCTTTCCTGGTGCCATAAACCGTTTCCTCTTTGTGTTCTTTCATTTCTTTCTGTGCAATCTTATAGACAGGTGTTGGTTGCTGCTTTTATTGCTCCCAGCAGGCCTGCTGTGTCTCAGTTCATAAAACACCCAGGGAGGCACTGACAGACTCCTTTTCTTGGCTTTTGAGAGGACAGGGTTTTCATCAGTTTCAGTATGATCTCATTACTTAAGAAGGTTATAGTTAGGAATGTTACAATCTAGAATCGTGGAATCAGAATGGTTTGGATTGGAAAGGACCTTGAAGGCCATCCAGTTCCAACCCCCCTGCCATGGGCAGGGACACCTTCCACTAGACCAGGTTGCCCCATCCAGCTTGGTCTTGAGCACTGCCAGGGTTGGAGCATTCACAACTTCTCTGGGCAACCCGTTCCATTCCTTCACCACCCTCACAGTGAAGAACTTCTTCCTAATACCCACTCTAAATCTACCCTCTTTCATTTTAAAACTGTCCCCCCCATCCTATTGCTACATGCACTTGTAAAAAGTCCCTCTCCATAATTCTCAAAGGCCCTCTTCAGGTACTGGAAGCTGCTCTTAAGGTCTCCTGGAGCCTTCTCAAGACAATGATGTCATGTGGGACAGTGTCAAAATTTTTTGCACAAGTCCAGGTAGATGTGACTTAGAATTATAGAATGGTTTGGATTGGAAGGGATCATATAGTTCCACCCCCCCTGCTTATGCCACTGGCTTGTCATCTTTGTGGAAAGTTACCTTGCTTAATGGCTCCACAGGCAGCATCACATCAGTCCCCAGCTGGTAGGCTACATTACTGACCAGCAATATTTTCAGGTTTTAGAATATTTGAATAATAAAAGCAAGTCTTCCCTTGAAGTGAGGCACTGGCTATTTCAGGGTAGTGTGCAATGATTTTGCTTTGTTTGGAAACTCAATGAAATACTAAGCTTGGGAGTGCAAGTTCTCTAGGTTCATCTGCAGTCTGTTGAGAGGGGCACTTCCAGAGGGCTGCTGGGATCCAAGAGAGGTTGAGTCATTCCTTCACCACAGGAGTATCTACTAGCTTTTGGCTGTCGGTTAAGGGGGTATTTGATTAGGGGGTTTTCTGTTCTTTTTTTTTCAAAGAGTGTGTTAAGTAAGAGAAGAATGAAGTAGTCTTGAGGATTTGTTTTCTTTGATTCTTGCAAATACGGTGATGTTACACTTCTTCTGATCTGCAAATACCTGCAATATTCTGAAAGGATCAAAAGCACTTTTTGCAGTTACACCCTTTTAACATCCTGCCTGGCCTAGTTCTGCATTTCATCTAGGCTCTCTAGGAATTCATGAGGGAAGTTTGGGAGGAAAGGTGAGAACGACATGCATGGTTTAAATAAGTTTTTTTTCTTCAGTATCAGAAGAAATGTGTAGGTGATGAACCTCTTTTTTTAAGTAAGCATTAGGACACATCATGAGCTCTGAAGTGGTAAACAACGTACTTTGTGTATTACAAAAGTATGAATGGGTGTGCAGTTGATGGGGATAAAATTGGATACTATTATTTCAAATTTCAAGAAGTAAACAAGTGTACTAAAATTGTAGTGTGTTTGGATTTGATTTTAAAGGGTTTTTTGGATGTTATTAAGTTTACTAAAATTCAGGAAATAGAAATACTGGAAATATTCGAACTGTGTTCATAGGGAGTTTTTGAATTTAGGATGACTTTCAGTTCTCATGTAGCAGACCATAAACAGAAATCAGTCATTACAATGCTTATACATGATAAATAACTATGCACACAAAGATATGATTGTGTGTCTGTATATGTCTGTCTATATATATGCATACACTGCCTTTAATCCAGAAGGATCCCCGTAACTTTATATAAACACGAATTATTATTCCTAGAGTGAAAAGACTTGGCTTTACTTTTAACTGTGGAAGCTTTATACTAGGCTGTAATGATCTGCTCAAAGTACAAGAGCTAAAAGATTCTGATCTAGAGTTTCAGGTTGATTTTATGGTTGGCATAAAAGGAGGGGAAGGCCTACAGAATATTCAAATGGCCTAATTTTTCTAAACTCACATTGGAAGCTGAGTTTTCTGACCTGTGCAGTAGTCTGGTTTGTAACTTTAATCATCAGTGCTTCTGCAGTTTAGGTTTTGTCTCAATAAATATTGAGGCTTTTTGTCCTTCTCACTGGGTTTTCATTGTACAAATATTCCATTTAGCCTTAAACAAATGAATTTTATTTATATTTTATTTATTTTTTTTAATGTGAACTTGTAGTATTTTTCCATTTGAGATTTTTGAAGACTTTCCAGATGTATAAGTGTCTTAGGGAAGCAAAATAGAAAAGAAGACAAGAAGAGAAATAAAATACCTGCATATCAGTAGGTCTCTTAGATATTAATCCTCCAAAAGACTCCATTCTTTGTCTTGCTTGATTGACTACTTCTCAACTTGAGAAATAATTTAGGTGTTTAAAATTATGCCTATTTTCTGTTGACATCTTAATACAGTGAATATTTCTTTTTATGAACTATTTTAAAGTGCCTATAGCAGAGGAAACTATTTCCACTGGATTAAAGCAGTAACACCAAAGTAAGTGTTAGATTACTTCTAGGAAGTATTCTACTGTGGGATATCACAGCTGTTGTTTAATGTACCATAAATGAAACTGAGTGTAATTCAGATGCTTGCATTCTGTTAAATGTACTGATACTAAACCAGTAATTAGATAGAGCAATGTAGCTTTTGCTTTTTATCTCTGGGGAGATTTGCAGTGTTCTGTGTTTAGATTTAGCCCTTTGACTTATGCATCAATGAAGTGTAGTATTAATTTTTGCCTTAATTTTAGTTTTCACACAGGAAATCTAGTAAACAGCCTGCTATTCAGAAGTTTATATTGTGCATGGGTGTTTTTAAGCAGTTTGGTGGGTCAGAGCATGAAGGACTACTGCGTAGGAAAAATGTGAAATCAAAGCTGATAGCTATGTCAGTGCTTATGCCATCTCCGCAACTTTATCACCAGAAATCTCACACAATTTGACATGTTCAGTGTTTGTCTTGGTGACTAAGCAAGGGGAAAAGACTTTTGAGTAAAAAATAGAAAAAACATTTTATCTGCAGCTTCGAGCTGTCATCAGTCTAAATTAGCAAGTAACTGTTCAGAGGAACAAAAAAAATGTAATCAATCCTCAGGTTTTGGACATGGTAATATTCTCATAATCTTGGCAAGGATACTTGTGGTTAAAGCTCAGTTTGTTGCCACTGTTTTTCTTGTGATCCTGCTTCATGTGCTCAGTTTTACTTTTTTCCTTGAGACTTTTTTTTCTGAGTTTTACTCTTTTTCCTTTTCACATTTGTTTTCCATCTTTGTTCTACTGTTCTTCACTCATTCTACTGCACTTGCCAAGTTTGCATTAATATAGACGTTAGCATCTTGATGTGACACTAGGATCTTTTAGGTTGACTTCATCTATAATGCAACAATATACTTTTTAAATATTGCATGATGTAAAACTTGAATCTGTACTGTACTGAAACTGCAGATTTAAAGTGTTGAAATAATCTGCTGCCTGATGAGAAGCTTCATGTGCTTCCTCTAAGGTCCTCTGCCTTTGTGATGTTTGTCTTCACAGACATTGCTTGTAGGAAAATCTGGCAGCTTTCAGTCAGCCATGACTCTAGCTCTTTACTGAGATCTCATGATGGGCTGTCTTCAATTTGACATCTCCTGTATCTCACTGACAGTTTGGTTTCAATGAAATACCAGAAGGTGTTCTTAGGAAGCTCTCCTAGAGGTTTTATATCTTTATCTTTCCTTTCATGTTTCATAATATTGCTAAGGATGGTGGTCTCAAAGTATTGCTCTTCTGAAGTTTGACTCCTGCATCTTTTTTGTTACCTGTATATATTTTTTTGGTATGCACTTCATTCCTTCTCCACGTTTTTTGACATTCTGAACAGATTCCATGTGACTTTAATTTCTTTCCTTTTGATACTTACTTGTCTTGGAGTGATGTCATCTATAGGCATTAGCTGAACAGCCTTTTCTGTGCTGTCTCCTTGCTGAATTAATGAGAATCTGTTATTCCTTATGCCTGATATGACTGTCACCTCGAGTGACAGACTTAAATGCAGTTCTCCATCCTCCTGTTCTCTACTTATCTCCTTGAACAGTGGACAGCAGCATTGCTAACTTTTTTGTTCCTTATACAGTAATTGGTTGGTCATTGACTTGGACCTCTTCAATTATAGGCTGAGTTTTCTTGTCTGCACACTTTCTACATAGTATCTGTAAAATTCAACCTTTTCTGGCCAAACAGAAACTGCAATATCATACAGTTCTTATTTTGTGCCTTGATTGGTGCTTACTTATGGTCTTGGGTGGGTTATACAGGAGAGGTCAGACTTGTCAAGAATTTTTGGAAGTGTCCTCTCCTCTTCCTTTCACCTTTTCATCCTCTGTTGTCCCCTGCTGTGTTCTGCTTCTGAGTGGGGTCATAATCTGCCTGTTTTTCTTAGCTTTCAGAGTGCTGAAGGATTATTTGGTCTATTACGATCAAGAAAATTTTGCTATTGGCTTCATCACCTGCTTGTATTTTTTAAAAAGCACTTTCTCTATCCATAAATATTTGCAAAGCTACTTCATTATTTTCTTTTAAATTTCTCATCATCTCCTGTCCCATTGAAAATTCTTAACTGTGGTGCCTTTAAACACTGTAAAAGCATGTGGGATGTTGGTGCTGTCCTATCAGATAAGAGTATTGCCTCATTCTTACGTGTGTGTCTCTCCATCTGATATTTGTTTCTGGGTAGGGTTTTAAGCTCTTTATCGAGGAAGCATCTTTTCTGTTTCATGTTTATGTCTTGCATGCTGAGGGATTGCTCTACCAATCGTAGACCTTGGTGGTCTACAATTAACAGCTTTTAACTCTGATAATAGGAGTACTGGTGATTTGGAAGAAAAGCAACTTCATGAATATGGCTATTAACTATGGGCATAAGATCTGCTGCAGATCTTCTAGTCATGTCGTGTTTTATATGTTAATCGTTAAAAGGACCATTTTGGATTTACTTCTGTGTTCAGTTATGCCTTTTTACTATTTCATTAAATGTTTGTATAACTAAAGAAGAGTTGCTATGTAATAGATTCCCCCCTCTGTATCTGGGTTCTCACTAGCTTTGGAGAAAAATGAAAAGTAACCTCTCCTGTCTTTAAATCTTCTTATTTTCTGGTTTGCAGAATTAAAAGAAATAGTATTTATCATCCAGAGTCAAAGTAATTCTTTCCATTCCAAGAGAGCAGAAGATCTGAAAAGAGATATTTTAAAACAGGCTGCAGATCTTGGAAAGGTATGTTTAGATAATACAGTTTGCACCTTGTTATGCATGCTTTTATTGCATTTTACTGAAAATATTGCTTTCTGTTGTGCCTTTTTTTTATTCCTTTTGTTAACTGTCTTCTGTGTGCTTGTAAGAAAACTATTTCAGTGGGTATTAACTGACTGTATGCTGATTTATCACTAAATAATTTTAATTTGAACTGTCGACCTTTTTTGTAACAGATTTTTTTGTTTTGATGGCATTTGATGAATACAATTTTCTGATATGACTGTAGTGTGCTTAAAAGAAAGATGCTTTCTTTATGAAATGAAAAACAGTAATTTAAGTAATGGAATAACTTTAGGTGAGTACTTCATTTTGTTAGAGCTGTTGAAACTTAAATGACTTTAAACTGTCAAGAGGGAAGATTAGGGTTAGACATGAGGGAAAAATTATTCCTTGTAAGGGTGGTGGGACACTGGAAGAGGTTTCACGGAGAATTTGTGGCTGCCCCATCTCTGGAAGTGTTCAAGGCCAGGTTGGAGCAACCTGCTCTAGTGGAATGTGTCCCTGCCAGTGGCAGGGGTTTTGAACTGGATGAGCTTTAAGTTCCCTTCCAACCCAAACCATTTTAGGATTCTGTGTGTGATTCTATGAATATGCTGCAATGTAGGTTTTGTCAGAATTTCACTGCACAGCTGTAGCACTGTGGCAATGGAAGAGCATGTGTGTGGACGTGATCAGGGGACTGAAGCACCTCCCATATGAAGATAGCCTGAGAGAGTTGGGGCTGTTCAGCCTGGAGAAGAGAAGGCTGCGTGGAGACCTCATAGCAGCCTTCCAGTATCTGAAGGGGGGCCTATAGGGATGCTGGGGATGGACTCTTCATTAGGGACTGTAGTGGTAGGACAAGGGTTAATGGGTTGAATCTTAAACAGGAGAATTTTAGATTGAATATAAGGAAGAAATTCTTTACTGTGAGGGTGGTGAGGCACTGGAATGGGTTGTCCAAAGAAGTTGTGAATGCTCTATCCCTGGTGGTGTTCAAGACCAGGTTGGACAGATCCTTGGGAAAGATGGCTAGTGTGAGGTGTCCCTGCCCATGGCAGGGGGGTTGGAACTTGATGATCTTAAGGTCCTTTCCAACCCTAACTATGCTATGATTCTATGACATTGAAATCCTAACACAGGATTCCCTACATCCTACAGCAGTGGTCTTTTCACTCCTTACTTGTTTATATCTGTACTGGCTCCTTCCCTGGTTCGGTACCTTCCCTGACTACTCGTTCCTCTGCCATCCCCATTGCAGACTGCGCACTCCGCGTCTCATGTGCTGGGTGGGCCACGCTAGCCTGCTAGCTGCTTGGAGTTATGCAAGTCTGATTTTGACTTAACATTAACATAAACATGAAGCTTTATCCTAGAGAGAGAAGATTATAAAGAGGCTTAGATTGAAAGTCATAATTGAAAGTTACATGTATGTAAGCAATGTTTTATTTTTCTTTGTCTTTAATAATAAGAAAAAAGTAAGAGGGGCGTACATCCCCTGATACGAAATAGCTTGCTGTGAGGTTATTGGACCCATTTTTCAATTCCAGATTCTTTCTTGCAAAGTAAGAGGTCTGATTCAGATTGACTTATATATCTTGGTCTTGGAATGCCTAAGTCAGATTCCTGGATGTTTTAGGCTGCATTTATCCAAGCTTGTCAAACCTTTTGTAATTAAATCCATTCTAAATGCAATTTTTAATCCTTTAATGAAATCAGTCATGTGAACAGCCTTTGTTCTGTGGAGTTCTGCTCTGAATTTCAGAGTCATCTTTGGGATTGAGACAAGTGTTCAGATACAATGTTCGCAGAGAGGATTATGACTTCAGTTGTTAAAAACAAAAATTTTAGTTGAGTGCTCTAATTGGTGTTGCAGAATGTGAATTATGAAAAGATCAGTAAGTGGAAGTATAAATAGTTCCAGTGAGGCAGGAGTATAGGCATATTTTATGGGAGAGGGGTAAAATCTTTTTTGTAATTGAAGAGTTGTACCTGTGAGTACTTCTGCCTTGAGCAAACTGAATTTGGCTTTTAAAAAACCTGAATGCTGAAATGGTGATGCTTTTCCAATATCAAAAGGTACCTGTTGAACAATATTCAAAGAAGCAGTGATGGAAGTACAGCACACCAAAAATCTCATACGTAGAATCTGGGAACAGGGAAAAGTCATCAATGTACAGGAAAAAAATGAGCGTAGCCAGCATGTACTTAGTATGTCTTATGTCAACACGCAGTTCCACTGTTGGCCACTGTGAGGTATGACCCAGTAGTACTGGTTATGGAGAAGGGACACAAGATCTCTGAAATCCTGCACATCAACATTAGAAATTCATATGGAATACATATGGAATTATTACTTTCAGACAAAGGAAGTTAAGTCTTTATGTTTTAAAGGACAACTGTTGTATAGAAGCTAAGGACTGGATCAACTGAATCATCAGGTTCACTTGCTTGTTGTTACAGGACCAAACAATAGATGTTTATAGCAAATTAGTGCTACTCATTATCGAGTTAAAAACTAAACCTAAAACCAACCAACAAACCAAGAATGTAATAATAAGATGTTAAGACTGATATCATGGAGTACTGGAAAATTAAATGAGCATCACATACTTCCATATGAAAAATAGATGATGTGAAATGTGACCTCTGTTTTATGGAAGTGTAATTATAATTTCCAGTATTGTTACTATTAGGCTTACTTTGTTTTGAATAAAATTCCGTATTTTGTATCATCTCCACAGATTTAAACTATATATAAAGGGTATATTGCTCTTTTGTAAGTTCAAGGACTGTTACTGTAGTGACTATTAATACTAGCTTAAAAGAAACAGAATCAAAAGTATGAACTGTACATAGAAAACCACTGTATTATGTTGCTTGAGTAAATATTTGCTTCAGATAACATATTCATTACTTTTTCTTAATATTGTTTCTTTATCAATCTCCCAGTTTCCAGTTTGACTGATGGTCGAGTTATAGGAGTGTCCTGTAGTTGTTAATTTAAGTGGCCACTGTATGAAGTTCACATTTCCCTTATCTATATTAACATCTGCATTTGTTTTCTGATGCGTTACTTATTCTACTTGCATACATTGCCTGATATCAGCATGTTCTTGGTAATTTTCTTTCCTTTGAGTTCATAGTTTGTCTTCATAATGCTTAATTTCTTTTGAGATTTGCATATGAAGATGCAGCTGCTTGCTTTTGGGGCCTCAATGTTTGGGTGCTCAACTTCTGAAATGCTTCTGAACTCTGATCTCTTGAAGGATGGTGTATCTTTAAGTTCTAAAAAACAAACCTTTTGAAAGCATTTCAGGAAAAATGTGCAAAATTAGTATTTAGTTTTGAAAATGTATTTCAGGGTGGTAGTCTTGAATCTCTTTGAGGTTATCTTGCAGGACTTTACAGTTTTTACTGACTTCTTATCTTTGCTTTCCTTCAGCCATTTTCTTGGCTTTCTGACTTGTTTGATCTCTGACTTTCTGATATGCCCTTACTTCTCATTCTGCAAAGGTACCAGAATCCTTTTGACAATTACTAGGCTTTATTATTAGCAAAATTGATGTCTAGCCCATTAACTGTTGAACCTGTAAGTCACCTATGGTGTAATGCTAGAAGGTGAGTAAGATCATCTTCCTGTAATAGATACTCAGTAGATTTGAAGGAATGTGTAGAAGTTGGCTAATTCAGCACTAATGAGATCTTTTAAATGCTTTAGCAGTGATGAATAGGCTCCTCTCGGCCCTATCTGACACATCGTACACTGCTGTTATATAGCTGCTTTCGCCTAGTCAAATGTGGTAATTGCATTGACTTTTTAATGGAGATAATGGGACCTGTCACCTCACAGAGATGGCTTCTCATGTCAGGGCAAAATATATACATGATATTGGGAAGTTTAAAGTGCTTAGGCAGAGGTGCCCCTCTCAGCCTCTTTTGCGGCAATCTCTGCATACATAATAGGATCTGAACAAAACCATTTCACTAAGGTATGTTTTTATTAGAATAGTATAAGAAATTGATCTGAAGTTTCCTCTTCCGTGGTGGCTGCTGTGTGTTATGTTAAAATTCCTCAGTCATCTTTGAATAGAGTGCCATATTCACTGCTCTCATCTATACGTGAGACTAGAATTTCTAAATCATCAGTTTTAAACCCTTAAAATAACCTGTTGACATTTTAATATGTTCTTGTAAATTCTCCTGGTCATTTATGCTAGTATTTCAAATACATCTACTGAATATCTTATTTGTGGAAGTTTGCTTTCTCCTTTTCTCTCCTTCTTCCTTCTCTTCTTCCTTTTTTCTTCCTTAGTTAGAAAACTTACTTTAAATTTACTTGATAAGAGACTGTTGGGGGAAAGGGATCTGCTGCCCCATCTGTCACATTAAGTTAGCTAGGGAGCTGACTGCTTCAAACTTGGTGTCAGTGAAAGACACTTGTGATTTATTTGTCTGTTAATATGAAAATCTACTAAAAGATGGGAATACTTAAAACTTTCTGTGAGGCTAAGAATTTTTGTGGATAATTGCAATAAATTGAAAGATAATGAGCTTATGTTGTTTCCATAGACTAAAGGAAGAGAAGAGCAAAAGACAGATAAACCATTGTCCGTGTGAGTGTATGACACATAGAATTTGGAAACCGTCCAGCCTTAGAATAGACTCTATAGATTTTGAAAAGACAGTTTGCTAATAATACAGGAATCAACAGAGCCCCATAAATAGCTAAATTTCATTGTTTGAAATCATGTAATAAAATCACAGACTGATTTGGGTTGCAAGGGACCTTAAAGATCATCTAGTTCTAAACCCCTGCCACACCTTCCACTAGACCAGGTTGCTCAAAGAGCCGTCCTACCTGGCCTTGAACACTGCCAGAGATGGGACATCCACAACTTCTTTGGGCAACCTGTTCCAGTGCCTCATCATCCTCATAGTAAAGAACTTCTTCCTTATATCTAATCTAAATCTGCCCTCTTCTAGTTTAAAGCTGTAAATTTGTTGTGTTTAGTTTTCATTGAGACAGATTTTGCTTTTAAGTAAAAACTCACTTTACACACTGGTATTACCATCCACAATACTAAAATCCTATCTTAAACACATTCTAAATAAAGAATCTTACTCAAATCGGTTTGCAACATAATTATTATGGCTCACCACCGGTGCTTACTTTCATGAATAATAGCTGTGTACTGCATACCACGTGTCTGTCTTTTGTATGTTGCTTTTTTTTAGAATTCTTATAAACTGAGCTGTGAGGACAGTATTTCTCACTGCTTTTTATCCACACAAGTGATAAGCAAGCAAATGGCACTACTGCAATATATTGTTGTCATTCTAGACTACTGTCTCATTATATGTATCTCTGGTAGCATTTATTGTAATAAGCACTCAAAGCTTTTCCATATTCTTCCACATCTTTTTGTCTTGTTACAAAATATAACAATTGCAGGTTTTGGAGACAGAAATACATTGTAGTAGAAGGCTTTCTTTTGATGATAGAATAAGTTATTGTGTAAGGATTAATATTCCAGCTAACTGCCTAAAAAGTCACTTCTGATACAAACACTGTAACTCTTACCGGGCCATGAGTCGTTGGATCTAGCGTGCAGGCATGCAGGAGACAGGGCATTGGTTGTGCTTTCAAGTGTATTTTCTGTCAGCGAAGTTGTGTTTTGAGGATTTGAATGTAATGTACCATATGAAAAAGGAATAAAATTACTTCCTGTTCATTGAAACTCTGACAGTTCTTTTGCATCTGAAGTTATAGTCAAGAACACTTCAAATCACTTTCTTAAGCTTGAGTTATTCCCTCCATGTGATTTGATAAATGCTTCTATCTTTTCTTTAATGTAAGATTATTTGAGAACAGGCTTGCACACAGCATCTTGCTCTTGATTTATGAAAGCAGAGTACTGCGGTGGCCATTCCCTCAACCCTTTGAAACTGCATATAGTACATTAAGAAAACTGTTTTTTTCTAAAATGGTCTTAAAAAGTATTTAAATTATTTTAGTTAGATTAAATTTGACTTGTGTCGTATGTAAAGTGTTAGTATGTGCAAAAGCATATGGGCTCTGCAACTGTGGAAACAATTTCAAGATAAAATAACCTGTGTGTACAGTACAGGGTATGAATGCATTTTTAGGAGAGTTTATGAGATATACAGATGCAATGTGTAAGTTATTTATCACAATGTTGACTATCTAGCAACCCTTGGATAAGCTATACTGCACATGCCCTTTCATTCCCGAAAGCTTTTTTTCAGGTGCTTTTTGCCTTTCTTCTGCCCTAGTACTGAAGGTAGAATAAATAAAATGAATAGGTCAGACCAGTTCCACTAGGTTCAGAGTGAAAATGCATAAAATGAGAAAGAAGAAGCCACAGAGATCCTCTTGTATTTTTGAAGAGGCTATTTTAGTTGTACAGTGCTTGTTAAGCATCTCCTTTATTAAATCAGAATTGATGCATTTGTTAGAGATGTGTGGAAGGAAAGGGAATATGCAGGATGTGTTTTTTTCATGTTTTAGAGGAGGTTGGGTAGAGAAAGAAAGCAGGCGTATGAGAATTTCAAAAAGAAAGATACCTTGCAAGTATCAGATTAGCTGAAGAAAGAGCGCTTTTTCTTTATCATCACTCCTTTGATACGCACAAAGGAAAGAGTTGGATATTTTTGTTGAAGAGGAGATACCTGGGTGTATGGTACAGCTACTTAGATTATGTCATTTACTTCATACTTTTTTGCATGTGCTGATGTTACTGGTATCTAATACAACTTCAGCCTTTATTGTGATACAGACGTTCAATGTATTATGGTTAACTACTGTTATCTCTGTCAGGCTCCTGTTGTACATGACGTAGCCACATACAAATACGGCATAACTGCAGTGTTTGTATGCTTGTAAAAACAAATGTTCTTGTAAAGACAGAAGTTTATGCTTTTGTCTTCCTGTCTGCAATCTTGTAAACAAATGTATTTTTATGTTTTTACTATGAAGTGGGTACATTTTATTGAAATACCAGATGCTGAGCATACTGTTACTTAAGATTTGCCACTTCCACTAAAATCTTCTGGATGCCTTTGGTTTTACAGTAAATTGAAACTAACCAGAAACATACTTGATAGATTGCTTGAACTAGAACCATAAAGCAGAATTGATAACATTTTAGATGCAGGTGAATATCCTGTTCCAAGTTAGAGTTTTGGAATTGTTTCTTTTCAGTGTGGATCATTCATAAAGCATAAGTAATTTTTGAACCAGTAAATTGTTATTTTTTGGTAGGGTTAATGCACTTCTCAGAGACAGTTACTGTTTAGAGCAGTAGAAAGGTTTTCTTTAGTCTCTCCCACATTTAACATGTATTATAAATTATGCAGTTTGGTTTATTAGTGGGCCATGTTAAAAGGGTGTTTTCTTAACTACCCCAGAATGATAGCTTGCCTGCTAGACATCAGGATCTGCCACATCAGGGAGATTTCAAATAAAAAAAGAGCACAGAAGTGTATGAAAAGCTTTTTACTCTGTAGGAAGTTTCTTTGATTTTTAAGGAAGAAAAAATGCTAACTCCTCATTTTGATTTTTGCGTGAACCCATGGGGTTTTGTCATGATGTTACTGTGACAGGTCAAAGCTGAGTTCAGCAAAGTAAAGAGTATTGGAACTCTCACACAAGCTCTGTGTAATGTGATTGTCCAGTGGAAGCTTCTGTAGAATACCCTACATTATTTGTAAGGTTTTCTTTACAGTATGAGATTTTATGATATGGAGAAGAAATGAGTATGCTGTATTGCCTAATTGTTTACAGGGACCTATACAAAACATTTAACTTGAAGTGTATTGGCTTTATATCTAATAGAGAATTAAGGAATCATGAGTTGGAAGAAGCACTTTCCCTAAACTGCAGGCCACCATTGTTTCATCTCATCCAAAGTCACCTCCTCTGCAGGGATGCTTGCTGGTAAAAAAACAATGAAGAACTAAGTAATCATTCCAGAATACATTTTTTAGATTAGCTGATGTTTAGGGGAAAAAAGAGTACATACAATTCAAGTTTAATGGGAATATTTTCATTTTTCTTAAAGGAATTACCTACAGTTCTGCTTATTCATCAGATGAACGGGCATGAAGGTGCATGGACAATATTACCCTTAATGAGAGAGTAAGTCTAGCAAATGCCAGTTATTATCAGGTTTTTGCAACCAAGAAAATAAATATTAATTACTCAGACCTGTTTTTTTCATAAGCAAAGTTTTTGAATGAGAGTTGAAATCTTTTCATTTGCTTACCCCTGTTTTGGTTTTCCAAAGCAATTTTCTGTTAAATTTCATTAAATCATAGGAAGTTATTGTAAATGAAAGAACAAAAATAATATAATGTAACTGAACAACTACCTTCAAATCATTGTGGGTTTTAAAATTATTAGGGAAGTAAACTAGTCAAAAGAAATACCATTTTTTAAATATTTATTTTCCTGTATGGTCCCCAGTTCTCACAGAGTGCGGTGTGAGGTATTTCGGAACATTTGACCTTTCCGATTGCATGGCTGAATGATGTGAATAAATATTTTTTCATTTAAAAATAGATAATAATACCTACTTGGTGATTCTCTCTTTTACTGCTTGCAGTATTTTTAAGAGGTGGTATTGCCTCTGTAGTGAAAAGGTGTAGGTTTCAACATCTAAAAAGAAGCTTATATGGCCAGTTTTCATCTTAGTACAGGCAGAGAAGACAGATAATCTCAAATATCTTTTCTTAGTTTATGCAGGTGACTCCAAGGAAAACGTGCTCCATTTACATGGTAGTGTGTAGTAAACTGACAGGAAACAATGATTCTTGTTTCAGAAAGTTCTTAAGCTCCACAGTGCTGAAGGCTATCCTTTGCCTAAAACTTGCATTTGAATTTATGCCAGAGGCTTTAGAACCTCTTGAGGTTTAATTTAGAGTTACTCAGAAGGTGTTTCTGGCTTTGTTTGAGGTTTTTGCATCAGAGTGGTTGCAGGATAGGATGCTTTTCCATCTACTTTTCGTTGCTTTTTGTGTGCTTAGAAACATTAAAGTAGTGCTTGTATGGTATCTTCGAGAAACATGTAAACTGTGAAAAGAGGGAAAAGGAGAATTAATGTAAATTGAAAAACTGAAAAGATTATGTTCCAACTATCAATCATCTTTGGTTTTCCTTCGAAACTCCTGTTTCAATGACCTAGTAGTTTGTCTTTCTGAATTATTTATGTCATAGTGACAGGATTTACACTTACAATTCTTACAAGCTAGCAAAACTCAGAAGCAAAAATATAAATGCTCATTTGTGTGAGAAAGCAGAAGAAATAGATTCAGGAATCAGAAGAGAAATCTTAAGTAGAGATTTCCATCTTGAGAGTTCTGGAATATGAAGTTCCTTGTGTCTACTGTTTTTCTTGCCACTTTTGGCAAAATGAAGACATGCAATAGCTTAGAAGTATGTTGCTGTTGTGAGACTTGTACTGTTTAGTTTTCTCAGTGGACAGAAGAAGAGGAAGGGAGATCAGCTCATTCTGCAGCAACTGATGATGCTCAGAATTGTGAATTAAGATGCATTCTTGTGTGAAAACTGCTTTCAGAGTGTGGCTTTCCTCAGTTCTGTAGTTGTCAGCATTTTTAAGGAGACCTCTGAAGAGTTATGACAGTTCTTAAGTTTTACTTCTTGGACTCATGTTAACTTGGATGAAACACTCTATTTCAGAATTTGTAATAATAAAACATCATCGGATGTTACGATACAGTACCCTTACTGTCTCCAGAAGGCCCACTACATTTCTTCTCAGTAACCATGTTCATTAAGCGGAGAAGAAATCCATTTTTTTTTTAAATTACTATCCTAAAACTGTTTTTTATGCGAGTACCTCCAATAACTCCTTGCAATCTGAACTCCAAAGTTGCGTGATACAAGGTCTGCATAAGACTCTCTTTAGGCCTTAAATACTTAGCCTTGAAAATTGCTCTGTTTGTCCAACAGTAGCTAGAGGGACAGATCATTCTTTTTGTAAACTTGTATCTGCTGTATTAGCAAGACGCAGTAATTGTTTTTGCCAGGGTCATTTGAGTGTTTTTTCCTTGCCCTTCACCCACCTGTTTTTATGTAAATCCAGATATTTCTCTCCTGAGTTCTAGCTGAGCAGAAAAGCCTGAGAGAGAAGCCTTCAGGCTTCACAGGGCACTGAATACTATATGTATATAAAAACGTGATGCTCTTTCTGTACTTGTTTGGCAAGTTTTAGAAGGAACAGCTAGGAATTGTCATTCCCAGCTGATCATATCTTGTTTGCTTGCCTGAATGGGAAAGAGTTGCCCAGATTTCAGTGTTGAGTACAAATGCCATCTCTCCAAACATCTCTCCTTCCTTCTTCCCCCAGCTCTTATTGCTGAGAATGATTTCAAATGGTATACCAGCTACTATAAAGAAAACTAACTCTATCGCAGTCAAAACCAGGCTGGAATAGGACTTGGAATCTTAGAATTGTTTAGGTTTGAAAAGTCCTTTAAGATCATAGAGTCCAACCATTAACCTAACACTGCCATGTCCTCTACTAAATCATGTCACTAAGGGCCACATGTACATGTCTTCTAAATACATCCAGGGACGGTGATTCCACTGCTTCCCTGGGCAGCCTTTTTCAGTGCTTGATAACTCTTTTGGTGAAGAATTTTTTCCTAATATCCACTAAACCTCCCCTGGTGCAGCTTGTGGCCATTTCTTCTTGTCTTATCACTTGTTAGGTGTGAGAGGAGACTGACCCCCAACTCACTACAGCCTCTTTTCAGGTAGTTATAGAGAGCGATAAAATCCCCCGCTGAGACTTCTCTAGACTAAATGCCCCCAGTTCCCTCAGCTGCTCCTCATCACACTTGTGCTCCAGGCTTCTGCAGCTTCACTGCCCTTCTCTGGATCCATTCCAGCACCTCAGTGTCTCTCTTGTAGTGAGTGAGGGCCCAGAACTGAACACAGGATTCAAGGTGCAGCCTCACCAGTGCCCAGTACAGGGGAATGATCACTGCCCTAGTGCCACTGGCTGCACTGTTGCTGGTACTTGTCCCAGATGAAAAAAAGGCTGATCTAGTTTAGCACCTGGCAATCACCTAGTCCTTCTAGTATGTAATTAGGAGACCTGCAGAGGAAGGTACCACATGTTCTAGCATAAGTATTTCTCAGTAGGTTTGGGTTTTTTGTTGTTTTGGGTTTTTTTTTTCAGGCATATACCATTCCCTAAAACATAAAGGATCCTATCACCCTGTTTTACTTATTTTTGCTGACTTACATTACTGCTGTTTATTTTCTTTTGGTTTTGAAAGTAGACAATGCTGGATGGGGAAAAATCTGTGATGTTCATAGGTGCTAATTTCTTATTCTTCTCAGATGATTTGTTTAATTAAATCAGTGTAAAAGCTAAGTAAAGGAAACTGGACAAGTTAAGATTGGTTTGTTTTTTCCATCAGGACATCATGAATTAGTAAGGCTTTGTTTTGTTAAATAGTGGCTAAAGCTGGGAGGAGTAGAGAAACAAGGAATGAGAATTTTCTGAAAGACTCAAGAATCCTATGTTGAAATTAATTAACTTTGAGGAAGGTAGGGGAGTAATTCTAAAGTAGTAGTAAAAGTTTCTGTTTCTGTGTAAATGAATAATTGATTGCAAAGTACTTATATTTAGGGAATATGGGTTGAATCTATCATCCTCTTCATAAACTAGCATATTAATAAAATGTTAATTTCTTTTGTTAGCTTCTCTGTTACCTATGGTAGGAACTCCTCATGGATTTTCTTCTGTGAAGAAGATACAAGAATACAAGTTGCAAAGCTGATAGAAACACTTGGAAGATTTGACAGCTCTAAGGTGAAATAGAATTTAGATATTTAACTTTCTTTTGAATGTATTTGAATTGATTTTTAGATGAAATGTGGAATTACTTGAAGCACAAAATTATCAATACAGAATTTTAGGATTTCTAGTTACTAAACAGTTTCTGTGAGCCAGGATTTTGTAAGACTGCCTGGGTGGCTCAGAGCTCCAAACATTGGAAAAGATGTATCCAAAAAACCTACAACACGGGGATAAATTTCTGTTGCTGAGTCTGAGAGTGAACAAAGTATTCTAACATGAGGCAGTATGAGCAGTATATCTAGCTGTTGAACTGTTAAAATAGAGCAAAGATTCCTGCTGTGGATAGCCTGAAAATCATACAGTGTCAGTAAAAAGATGAGTATAGAATGCTGTGTGGTCCACTCTCCACATTTTCCTGTCATCAAGTTCTCATTATTATGAGACAGAATGATGTTGAGTAACTGACTCTGTTTATGAACTGTCTTGTTAATAAGGCAGTGGTCTTTACCTGCTGGAAAAGGACGCCTAAAGACTCCCAGAACAAAAGACAAATGCACCAAGGAACAAAGTAAATTTGGCAATGCAACTGACGTGAAAGGTGTTAATGTGCAGAATTATCAGTGTTAAGAAAAAAAAAAATCACTTCTTTGCCTGGAATAGAAGAAGCCAAAACCTCTTGTGTGGAATATGATTTGCCTCTTTATTGTTACCCTGACTGAGTATTGAACTCTGTGTCAGGTCTCACTTTAGCATTTTTGCTTCTTTTGCAGGCACATGGCCTTGTGTTTTCTCATAACTCTTTTCTAAAATGGTAATGGTAACTCAGAGATCCTACACTGTTTACCACTGTTTTCAAAATGGCTGACTGAATATATGCAGGCCTTTGAAATATCTATTTCTGTTTCAGAAACACCTACTTTAGTGTTTTCAGCATAGAAACATGATTTTTTTTGTTTTAGATGCTGCTTTTATGCAGGTTTTAATCTCTTTGCATTGCATATGAATTCTGTTACAATAACAAATTATGTCCCAACCTGCATACATAGTTAATTGTCATCTTAGTGTAACAGCCCATAACTGATTCCCATAACTGATTCCCATAACAGCCCATATGAAGTAGTAGTTCATCCGTCAAAAAAATGAAGATGAGTTAGACCAGAATGGGTACATTCATTATTCATTTTAAAATGTCGTCAGTCTGCATAATAGAATTGTGGCATTCATTGATCACCATAAAAGTCTACAATGGGGCACGTGAATAGTTGATGAATCTGCAGCTTTTCGATCTGGATATATAGAGATTAGTAACAGAACTATTGAGACCGTTATGAATGTAATATTTTGAGTTAAAGCATGATAAGAGACTGTGGAGAAATATTTAGAGAATGACCTGCTTTGACAGCCAAGGACGTTATTGACTGCAGTAAAACTGAAGAACGGTGAGGAATGCCTGATTTACATAAAGACCTCAAGGCAAGCACTCAGGTGATGAATTATAGCTGAACATCAGGAAACACTTTTTTTTACCATGAGGTCAACCGAGCATTGTCCCAGCTTGCCCAAAGAGGTTTTACATTCTCCATCCTTGGAGATAACTCACAAGCCTTGTGGACATGGTCTGGGGCAGCCTTCTGAATAGGTGGCCCTGGCTGAACAGGCAAAGTTAGACCAGATGATTCCCAGAGGTCCCTTCCAACCTCAACCCCACTGTGATTCTATGTTTCAACAGCAGATGGATTCAGCCTGCACTTTCATAATGGAGGACAGCAGCAAGGTTAAACCAGATTGTATGTGCCACTCCCTGTCACCCTAACTGGATGATAGACTACAGCCACAAAGATACCCAGAATGAGTAAACCAAGCTGATGGTCAGCAATGACTTAGTAGCTGTTAATAACTAATGGGTATAAAAGATCTGTCTAAAGAACAGTTGGACTTTGAGAATCGTAAGAATTCGTGAGATGTTGTAGCAAGATGCAGTGAGGATTTGACAGGTGATATCTCCTGCCCCCTGCATCAGACACAAGTTTTGAACAAATGAATTCAGTGCACTGTCTTGGTATGTGTGAGTAAGTGAATACAAAAGAGAGTTGTAAAATCAGCTTGATGAGAAGTTAGGTAAAGTCACCTCTGCCCTCTCATGAGATCCGCATTGAGTTTTATTGCATCACGTTCCTTCAGCTATTAGTTCAAAGTTTTCTAAAGACTTTTGAGTGTTTGTATTGAAGGTAGGTGATCTTTGCCATTTTTGAAGCAGCGATCCAGTGCAATAAATCACATTCTTTTCTTTAATGCACATTTTTGTCTATATGCAATTTGCTTAGCACTATTCCTTAAATTGTAAGTTCCTTTGCATATAACAAATTTAATCTTGTAAAGCCAGATTTAACCAATTTCATCTTGTAAAGCAGAGATTGATTTGTCCTACATTTCAGTGTAGCAAATAAACAATGTTATGACCAAATTAGCTTGGAGAGTATTTGCTATCACCCAGAATGACTTCACTGTGATTTGCGGCTTAGTATTACCAGAAATAATATTATGCAAAAGGCTGAGGAGGGTACATGTATGGGTTTAATTTTCTGTAGTATACAGAGAAAGGAAAGTAAGGTTGGCTTTTTTCAATCCATAGACGTGCAACCTGGCACCCAGGCTGAGTCCTGGCTGGTAGCCATGGTCTTGCCAGGCTCAACGTCCTCTGGGCAGCCCTGTGTGCATGCTCATGCCAAGCTCAGCCCATTAGTTTTGGCTTTAGGTGTCTCCTGGTGCACGCAGACCTCTCTTCTGTTATTTGCTGACTGCTGAACCCTGGGCAAATTTCACTTGTTGCTCCTCAGTGATGGGAGCTGTAAAATTTAGCTCAGTCTATACAGCAGTATCTGCTTGGAGTTAGAAAGATTATTACTGAGACACAAGATCCTCTTGGGCTTAGACTGTTTTTTGGGGGGCTGGATATTTCTAAGGTACTTCTGCTTGAATATTTTCTCTTTTGTCTTGAATTTTGTGTAAATTATTTATTTCTCTTATGTGAAATCTATAGAGTGGTGTATACTGTGTATGAACTGTGCTAGTGCCTTGAAGGGATTTTTCATTGTTGTTAATAGCTGCCCCTTTAAAGGAGGGGGAAAGTGAAATATGGCAGGGAGTATGGAGAAAGAGAGTCTTTTGTGAAAGAACACTTGCCCTGCCTTTGAATCTCTTTAGTGTTGAATTATTGGGAATTGATAAGTTGTCAGGAAAAAAAGCCTAAATTACTTTCATAATGCAAAGAACTTCACACTTTAAAGATTTAATATAACCATTAGGTGATTTAGAATTCTGATCTGTGGTTTGTACTTCTGGCCTGGAAAACAGTTTATATATATTTATTATTTAAAATTATATAAATATACATATATATTCTTTTTTCCCTTCATTACAGTCCCTGTTCTGCAAAAAATTTGGGGTATACTTGTTTTATATCCATTCTAGACAGAAAGATTAAGACAACTAACTGACATTATTGTTAAAGAAGTGGTATTTAAGTCTGTTAATAATTTCAGATATTGCAGAGACAGTAGTAAATTCTTACTGTTATTTAAAACACCAATAATAATAATACTGCTTAATTTTTTACTTTATAAATGTATACTTGGGAACTAACTGTTTTGAAGATCAAGATATTTAAACTTCATTTGCCTTTTAAGTTCCTGAGTGTAAAAGAGGCAAGACAGATGGAAATTCAAAATGGATGAAGTTCCTGAATGCAATGCTTTTGAGAGTCTCATCTAGTCAGTCATCAGTTTGGGCAGTCAAACACTGGAACAGGTTGCCTAGAGAGGTTGTGGAGTGTGTTCAAAGCATGGCTGGACAGTCCTGGGCGACCTGCTCTGGCCGACCCTGCTCCAGCATGGAGACTGGACCAGATGATCTCAAGAGGTCTTTGCCAACCTCAGCCCTTCTGGGATTCTGGGATTCAGTGCTCTTTGAACAGGTGGAATCCAGGGCATATGCTGGAATTTGAAAATACAATGTGTATTTGAATTCAGAGAATGCTTTTAGTTTCATTTCTTACCAAGTACAATTTTTGTCCGGATTATTGTGAACAATATGCTTCCCCTGTTTTTGTTTTCAGGTTTGCTTTATTCAGCATGAATGCAGTCATCATCTTCACTAAAAGGATGCTGTAGATGAACAAAATTGTTTCCTATATTCCTTTACAGGAGTGGTTTTTAGGTAAAGCACTATATGATGAAGAATCTACAATAATTCACCATTATGCCTTTGCTGAAAATCCTACAGTCTTTAAATTTCCAGATTTTGCTGCTGGTTGGGCACTTAGCATTCCCCTTGTTAACAAGTAAGAATTGAATTGTTAATAACTTCTTTTTTACTGATAGCAATTAAGAATGTTCAATTTACACATCATTTCTAGACACTAATGAATATTAATTTAATGAGTTATGATTTCATATGGATTAATATTTTCCGTAAAAAATGAAGTTTTTCCTGCAGAACAGTTGAAGGTCTAATTGCTGATCATTTAGATATGCAGTCAGATTTTAATTTGAGCTGTCTTTCAATTGAAGTTGCTGTTTGCAGTTCAGAGCCCACACTGAGCTTCTGCTCCTGCCACCTTTATTATCAGCATCCATTCTGATACATGTAATTCTAGTTTGGCTTGAGGAGCAAAGGTGCATAGCAAAACATTCAGCCAGGCAGTAATATATAGTGAGCTCTGGTTATACCTACATAAGCTCTCACTATAAACTTACCCAGAAAAATACCTCTTTGATAAGATTCCATTTCTTCCTTATTGTACACATTCCAAGCATAATTATTATAAAGAAACACTTAAGAATTCATTAGTAGACAAGGCTACAGAAATAGATTTGTGTATTACTGCTGTCCATGTGATTTATTTTGCTTCACTCTGCCTATCTAGAAGTTAACATCATGTCAGCTAGTTAGTAGTTGTCCAGTACTACTAGTCATTCAGCTAGTTCAGTACCATCTCTTGTCATTTTAAAATTCTCTCCCCTCCCCCCCCCCCCAGCAGTTTTATTCCTGGATCTTAGAGTGACTGCATTGCCCTCTAGAAGTGTTTCTCATGCTATAGAGGCAAACCTTAATATTTATTTCAGATTAGATGCTTAGTTTTTAATTGAAATTCAAAAAGTTCAGAGATTTCAGAAGTAGAATGCATTTTGCTGTAGTGAGGATAGGTATTTTCACAAATTGAAGGTGCCTAAATACTCTGCTTTGGAATACACAAGAAGAGAATATTGTCTGAAGTGAGATGCTGATCAATATTGAGCTTCAAACACTCTGCTGCCTTTAATCTGTTGAAAATATTATGTCAGACTCTCTATCTACTCCAGATGAAAATTTTCTTCTTAGGCAGGAAGAATGTATCAAAATGTGCGTGCTGAAAACGACTATTGACATCATCACACTGTGATGAGATGAGGAAAAAAAAATAAAGTAAAAATATAAGTTGCTTCTTGGGCCATAAATACAAAAGTAGGATTTATTTTCCCCCCCTTCTAAGATGGTCACTAATGCCAGCCACACTTTGCAGCATACACTAGTGACTGATTTTTTTTTACGTGTGTGGATTTTAAATAAATTTCCTAATCTTTAATTGTATAGGCTTGCAAAGAAGTTGAAAAGTGAACCCCTCAAGTCAGACTTCACAATAGATTTAAAGCATGAGGTAAGTAGTGGTGTGATGAAATTAAAAATGTCTCAAGTCTGTATATTTGAAAGGTCATAAATGATAATGGGAATATCAGTTTTTCTTAGACATTAGTAAAATATTTGCTATGGCATGTTTAATTTCTTTCTTTTCCTTTAGAATATTATAATAGTTTAAAATTATATTTCAAGCATACAAGAATTCATGAATAACAATGCATTTATAGATGGAATACATAGATGTTTGGTACAGTAACGTATTTTCTAAGGCTTGCTCTGTGAAGGAGAGACTTCCAATGCATCAAGTGTAAGCTGACATGAATTCCTTAGGTATTAGACAGCCTCACTTATTTTCTAAGTCAGACTGTAAGAGCTGAATAGGGTGGAGTTTGGATTCAGTAACCTGAGGAACTAACTGCTGTGTGAGCAATGAAATCTGCAACTGACAGAAGTCTAGTATATACGCGCTTTTTTTTTTGACTCTGGTTTGCAGCAGCCTTGAACGGTAGCTACTAGGTCTTTCAGAGAACAAGTTTGCTGAAAGGAACATGAGAAGAAAGGGGGGGGGGGAGGGGGGTGAGTCTGCAAGAATATCAGTACCACATTTTCTGAAGGGCTTTTTTATTATTTTCTGCCTTCAAAATGTTTCTGCAGTGCAAGGATTTGTGCTGTCACCAAAGTGAACTCCTGAGCCAGGGTGGAAGGGGAGAACGACTGCAATAAGCTTGCTGATTTTGGCCTGAAAATATGAGTGATATTACATTTCTTTTAATCTTTTAAAGGTCCTGAAAGTCAGTTATAAATTGTGGTTCCAGCCTGGGGAAAAAAAATGTAAAAATGACACCTTACTTAAAACTACTGCTTCTGTTTCAGGTCTTTATTCTAGAATGGTTATAAACCTCCTAATTTTCAACATGAATCTACAGCGTCTTTATAGAGTATAAATTGGTAGGGCATTTAAATGAATTTGGGTTGGTGCCAACACTATTCTTTCACACAGTTTCCCCTCCTTGACTGATGTATTTCTCAAAAGCAGTTGGACACCTCTCAGCTTTCATTTTGCTACATGAAACAAGCCAACAAGCTGTTTCTTTCCTCTTGTTAAGGATTTGTATAAATGCAAAACCTTGGCCTTCACACTGCTAATCTTCTTATTGTAAGTTACCTCAGTGTCATTTGTGTATTCCCAATATTCCAGTCCACCTCAGCACTCACTAAGCCTCTAAACAGTGTCATATAAAAACAGAAAAATCACTGGCAGACATTCCTTTTATGTGCCACAGATTGCTTAGTGAAAAACAATTGATCATTTGACTAGCAAAATGACTTCCATCCAATTCTTATTCTGCTGGAAGTTCTTTGCATATGTTTCATTTCAAATTTATTGCTATTGATGACCTAATTCAGCCCTGTAGTTACTCTTTCTGTGCAGTCTTGTGTGTCCCTCGAGACAGTTCCATTCCCCCTAATTTATTTTATAAATCACCATCTTCTCCTTCTTAAATCATCTTTATCTCTATGTCCTTCTTGTGTGAGTCAAGATTGACAACAAATCAAATGATATAATCTGTGATCTTTAATGATTGTGTATAACTTTTAAATTTATGAAGGATGATGAATGCTTCAGGAAATGTTTTTGCTTGACAGAGTCCTAATGACGTGTGCTTCTAGTCCTTGGTATTTTATTTTGCTCTGTATCAGGGATTTTTCACCCTACTACTTTCCCAATCCGCGTTTCTTGTATCCATAACATTTATCTCACTTTAGAGCTGGAAGGCCTATCTTGCAAATATGGTGAAGGTTTTAGTCATGCTTCTGCTCATTTGTAGATTGTTTTTTATACTTTTTGTAATTGCACAATATATAGGAAATTCACTGAGGCTTATGCAAGACTCAAAGTGAATACGGGATTTTTTTGTGTATCTAACATTAGATTTGAACTAGGACTAAGACTATTTGTTTTAATTGTAAATACATTTCCATTGTTTTAGGAATAGTATGTCATCCTGTCCTATAACCCAAAATGGCATTCTCCTTTCACCTCTCTTCTGTAATATGATAGCTTTACACCATTCTAAGGCTTTCTATTGAAGAATTCATTATTCAGTGGGAAATCATAGCAAGTTATGAATTTTCATAAATAATTTATGTTGTTACAGTTGTTAAATATACTTTGTGCTGAAGGAGCATTGCTGCTTTGTTCGTTCATGTGATAGACATTAATTCTGAACAGCTGAATTCTGAAGTGATACAGAGACAACTGAGGAAGGGATCAGGAGCACAAGTAGTGTTCCCCTCTTCTTCCAGTTGCAGGGGATGATGGGGGAAGAAAAGCTAGCAGATCAATACCTGGCTTCGAGCCTGGTGTAACCAGCAGAATTTTAGTGGTTTTGATTGTGGGTCAGTTTACATGACACCAGCCCTGCTGGTGACAGATGGGTACACCTTGTCTCAAAGGGGTAAAGGATTTTTGCACAGTTGAGGTTTTCTGAGGATGTAGAGACCTAAATGAGATGGGCAGGAAAATAGTCATCTGTAAGAAGTCTGTAACTGGTTTGGTGAGTTGGGCTTGTTAAAACCATATTAAAGCTCTTGGTTTGCACTGTGTTGTTCCTGAACACTGGGGAGCAGGAAATATTATGCCCTCTTAATACTAGCTTAATGATCACATTATTTACTAGAAGAGGAGCTGAATTCTGGCCCTCGGCAGATGGAAGTGGTGTAAAAACTAACTGTTGCTAAGTAGGTATAAAACAATGAAAGGGACACTGATTTTCATTTCCTTTAGTGTGTCCTGAGTCTGGTCCCATATTCCAATGAATCGCTGAACTTTTTTTTTGTGTGCAAGAGTCATTGGGAATATGAGTAAATAACATGGGAAACAGGAATTAGAATGCAAAATGGATTTTCTTCCCTTGTTGGAGCCCCATTCTCCCTATGCACTAGTCAGGCTCTCCTTCACCACACTATGAACCTTCTTACTTTTTGTGCAGTAACTCAGTTTCATGAGGTATGAAATAAATTTTAAAACCTGACTGGCTAAATAATTTCTTTTGTAGCAAAAAAACCCTCATGTCTCTAGAAATGTGAGCAAGATATAAGGTATGCAGCTAGATAATCAACTAAAGGGCAAATCTTTTACAGCATCCTGTATTTTTCAGTTTTCCTGTTAAGTTTACCCTGTAATATGGTTTCTTTGTATACCCTGATAATTTTTATCCAGTTTCATTGCTAACATAACTCTTTTCTGTTTTGATAGATTGCCCTGTATATTTGGCAAAAAGGGGAAGGACCACATCTTACTCCAGTGCCTGAGTTCTGCACAGATGATGTGAACTCATATAAAGTTGATCATTGTGCAACAACATTCAGTAATTTTCTGCCACTTTGTGTAAGCACCGTATTTTAAATTCAACTTGCTTAGTAAAAGAAAAACTGCTACTAAAATGCATAAAACTTGACTTTAATAATCTCAAACCTTAAGAAAATGTTTTTCAATAAGTTAAAAAAAAAGTTTGTTCTAGCATTTCTCTATTTCTGAATGTGATTTCAGCCTTCTGTGGCACAAGATATTTCATGGCAAACAAATACTGCATATGCCTTAATGGGTCTTTTTACCACAGCGTTTGATCTGTGAGTGATTTATAGAATATTTCTTGTTACATTTCTGTGAGATACTGAAGTATAGATAATCTTTTTTTTCACAGATGGGAGTCTAAAACTTCTTGAGGCTAAAGATAAAATGTAATGTAGTATTCAGTGTCTCAAAGTACAATCCATCTCTTCCACTCAAGGAGAATACATTGGTGATATTAGGGGTAGAGTGTTGTTAGGGGCCGAAAAGTGCTCCATGCTTCCAGGAGAGGAAAATTATAGGTGCCAAAAGGAAAACAAACAAAAGTGGCAATTTTATTACACGTGAAGAAATTCAGAGATTTCTAGTGTGTAGCATTTAAACTTCATTTTCCAAATATGATACAGGTCAACATATTCTCATATTGGTTAATTTCAAAGAAATTAAGAAAGCATTCTTTTTCAGATGAATATTTCTTAGTTCAACAAGTTCTACTACTCATTCTCTTTCCCCAGTGAGTTCATATTAGAATACTACATCAATGGAAAAAGTATTTCAGTAATGGTATTTCAGGTATTTTAAACAACTAGTGGCCTTTATTCAAGAAACAAAAATGTACTTTCTAGTATTACGAATACACTATTTTACTTGTCATGCTTTACAGTTAAAAGGTATTTCTGTTATATTATATATATTATAATAATGTATTATTATATATAAGGACAAATATTCCCTATAAAATATTACAGGCAGAGCCTGCGGTTAAAACATGAATTTTTTTCTATTCATATAGGGAGAGCCAGTGAAAAAAGAAGATGTTTTTGTTGCTGTAAAAACATGCCAGAAATTTCATGGTGACAGAAGTAAGTTGTTGATTGGTCAAGGTAGTGGTTCCATGCAACATAATTTCTGAAATTAATACTTAAAAACCAAGCTGATACATGCTGTCTTTGTAGCTCTTGGGACTAAATGTTTGCAGAATCACCTGGGAAACATGAAAGTTTCAGAATTGTAAACAGTTTATTCTTTAGGTAGATTTTTTTTGTTTTCTTTGCTTTTCTTTCTTCAAGATTGCTGTGAAACATTTAAAATGAAAAGTTGTGGTCATTTGATGATTCATTGTTACTGATGTGTTATAGTGGCAAAATCTTTGAATATCTAAATTAAAAATATGCTTAAAGTTAGCTTATATTGTTGTAAATTGGAGCTGTTGCAATAGTAAAACAGCAACTATTAATATCCATCAGTGCGTTTCCCCCAGCTAATTGGTTCACTTCTGTTCCTTGTACTAGCAGTGACAATAGTGCAGTTCTGTGGTGGCTGATTTAGAAATTTGAACAAGCTGAAAGGTCTCTCCAATCCTTCTTCCATTTCGCTAGCCCTCCTCTCCAGCAGAAGATGGAGCCGCTTACACTGTTATATAACTTCTATCTCTTGACAGCCTATGCAATTGGATGTACACATGTGTTTTATAGTGCTTGGAATGGGAAATTTTGTCTCATGTAGAAATCTGGTCATCTGTAGTACTTTGTCCAGTCCATGGCCCAGATCAGGAGTCTCTCAAGTGGCATGTTTCACATGGAAATTGTAGTGTTGTACAAATAATGATAGTCGCCATGAAAATATGACTGTAATATCCATGGTAAAAACAACAAACCAAAAAACCCTAGCAAAGCCCAACAAGATACATCCAGTAAGTATTAACTTCCTTCTCAGAGGCACAGAAGATAAACAGATTGATACCTTCAGGTAATAGACGGTAAAGCTCAGCTAAATTGAGGTAGATTCAGTGTCAACAAAACTTGGAAGGAAAAATTCCAAATCCACTGATTTAACAGAAGACACTCTACCTACTTGATGCCACCTACCAGTCCATTCCAGTTTACTTCTACACATTTTGATAATAAGGAAATTCAGGAATGGGTTTATTTCCAGGAATTTACTTGCGTTTCATGTGTCCTTGAATACTCCAGATATGTAACACTGTCACCATTAGTCTTAGGGGTTGTTTTTTTGCTGGGGCTTTTCTTCGAAGTAAGATTTATGGAATTTTTTTCTTAATGTTTCTGCACTTGATGAAGGCACATTTCTGATATTTAGATCACCTGATTATAGTGCTGCCTTTAAAGTAGCTTTTGACAAAACAAAATTGGCTGTCCTGTAATTGGAGTTCACTGAAGAGTTCTCCTTTCTGGATCCATGTTTATTTCTTACGTCAAAGTTAAAACCAAAACCCACCAAACCTAGAAAGTCAGAAAAGAGCTTCAAAAAGATGGCGTAAATATCTCTTGAGAAACACCTGTTGAAGACTGAGGAAAATTCTTGAACTTTCCTCACAGCTTCCAGTGTTATGAAATAGAGGATAATCTTACTCAAGATTTTGACAGATTAATGGATGCCAGCTTCAGAGAGCTCTTTTTACCTGGTAAGTCATTTCCTATTGTATGCCAAAATCTACATTAGTGCAACATTAAGGCTTGGAATTCCATATGCAAAAGCAGCTAAATTTTACTTCAGAATTTACTTCACATACAGCTCTCCTTACAGATGTGGTATATGGTTGCATAAGAATATTTCAAGACTGCAGACATGGGTCAAGGTTCTAGAAGTAGCACAAATAAAATACTATTAAAAGCTTAGAGCTGACCTTCTATAAACAACTCTGTAGTGTGATTTTAAAGGTTCCATGTGATCACAGGTATTAATACATATTGATAAATATTTGCATCAACAGCTAGTCTGAAATTTCATATAGTTGTTCTTTCTTTGGAACATATGAGTTAGAAATTATGAATTATTGTGGGATTCATTTGGCAATAGGCACTGGTCTGGATGGTGACACTTTGGTCAAAACAAGCAAAGAAAAGAGAAATGCTTTAGCTGGTGTCCCCTTGTTAGACCATTTAACATAGGTGAGACTCGGGTCCTTGCTTCAGTGAACTTTTTCATTTATACAAAGAAGGGGAACTCCACTGAAGAAATATAATCTTCAGTGGAGTTCCCCAGTACGATAGCTCAGCCCATAATAGCAAGTAGTTCTACATGTTAAACCACGCTACTGAGGTTGAAGTCTTTGGTTGCAGAAGGGTAAAACAACCTTTACAGGCGTGTCTCTTCTGCCAGGTGAAGGTTGGAAGTTCTGTGCTGGGGCCTTGTTTTCTGAAAGCTTTCTGGTTTTGTTCCTTGGAGAAACTTTTTAACTAGAACATTTACACAAAATAAGAAAATAATTTCCTCCCTACCTGTCCTCTTATTCTAGCTGGGGGAGGAGAGAGGAGGGAAGTTTACATGTCATTTTCTGTCAACTAATGCCTTATTATGCAATCTAATATGATGGCATGTGACTTTTTACCGCATAGGAAGTAGAGTTAAAGCATTGTAAAATTCCTGGGTTTGCATTTCAGACCTCCACCATAATGTTGTGTGAACACATTTTGTACATAATTACCTTTTATTTTTTTAATGCAAAAATTGAGAGCAGTTTTACATTTCTTTAAAATATGTAAGAGCAATATTGGCCATTGCACAATGCTAAAGAAGTGAAATTATATTTTTCGAAATATTAAAGCTTTTCCGTTAGTGCATTGAGTTCTGATGACTCTGTCTTAACAGTTACCTTTCAATTCACTGTGGTGTTACCAAAGTTACTGTTGATCAATCATGGATTATAAATCCTTTGAGTCCCTGTTCGAGCAAATAGGTAGGCAGCAAATATCAAGTTAGGTGATGGATGATTCCAGCAAGGAGGTAAAGTGAGTTGTTCACAAGCATCAGAGTTACATAGCAGCAAAGGGAAGTTACATACTTCCTCTATTTCAAGAACCAGCTGCTACCAGTGAGACCTACTGGATGGTTTCAGAGAACATAAAGCAGACTGTTAATAACAGCAGTTAATGACTATTTCAGAGTAGCTGGTCATTTAAGACCTTTTGTTCATTTTTAAAACGAACAAAAGATCATTATTTTTAATCTGATAGTTCTCTTCCAAACACCCTGCAGAAGCTTTTGGCCTTTTTTATATTACCCATGATTTATTCCCTTCTGGCTATAGTTTAAACATTCATAGAATCATTATTAGAATTTCTTATGATCAGTTTTAAATGTTCATGTAAAATGGCAATCTAATAAGAAGAGGATTGCTTTTGTAGAGAAACATTAAGCATTCTTCCTTTGAATAGATTCTCCATGGGATCAAAACTGATTGTATGATAAATGTCCTTCTGTGAATGTATCTCCAGGGACAGGTGCTTTTGATCATTAATATGATGGTGTTGCCAGATATGATGTATATAACACAAGTGTAGTATTTCAAAAGGTGCATTTAGTCTGTTTCTGATTCAGAATACTTTATACACTGTACAGTGGATGTGCTCTTTTAAAAATGCATACTTCAATACTGGAAGTTTCGATACTGGAAGAATGATTGATCTCTGATAGTGTTCATGCTGATGTGTGCTATAAAGTCTACCACAGCAAGTGTAAAAGTAATGAATTCCTTCCTTTGGTTAGCATAAATGTAAACATCACCATTTCAATGTAATATGAATGAACTGTAATCGTATTTTAAAAGAAAATTTATTGCTATATAAATAAAACAGCCCTGACTAGCTTTCATAAAAAATGTGAAATTGTTTCTCTCTAAATATTGTCGACAAGGAAGAAGAATGAACATTTAAACCATGATGCTGAATTTGAAACATTTGAACAGCATATTCTGTGTAAAGGAATATGTCAGTTAACAAGGTGCATAAATGTTTTGATCAAGTACTTATTTTAATTGAGTTACATGTGTTTAAATGTCAACAATTGTTTTGCAGTACCAGTTGTAAAGCAGACTTGGGAAAGAGAAGCTGCCCTTATTGAATACTACAGTGATTATGCAGACATCTCCATTCCTACTATAGATTTAGGCATACCTAATACTGACAGAGGTGAGCTGTTGGCTGTTGTTGTCAGTTTTGCACAAACAACTGTCTGTAAGTCTTATGGCTGATATCTGTATTTCATGTATAGTATAAAATTTAGAGATTCTGTATTTCTACAGCACATTTGAGCAGCCTAAACTGAAAGAATGCTTTTACCACACAGGAAATGGATGGAGAGTGCAGTTCACCCTGTGTAATAAGAATGTTCTTTTCTTAGTGGAAACCTAAATATGCTGATATATGCCAAGAAAAAAAAATTACTGTTATTATTCGGGATAAGAGTAATAACTCTTGAGTTATTGATGATCTTGAGTAACATTATCAATAGTAGCGTAAGTCATAGGTTTATTTCAAAATACCTCAGACAGTGCCAACTGGTTACTGGGCATAAACTACAGTGACATTTGATATACAAATATTATATGCTTGTGCCTAGAATGTCTTGATTTAAGCACAAAAATGAAACGTTAAGATTGGGAGATCTTTTTATGAAAAAAATAATGTGGTTTTAATTTACTTTTTATTTGAATATAAAAAAGGCTATGGATGTGATGGCTTCCTTGAGTTTATTAATTTTAAGGCTTTTTCCTTTCATATGATCAGGTGTTCTTAGGTTTATGGTCTCTGCTACAGGCTATTACCTTCTGAATTAGAAGTGTCCAAGCTGTGGCCTATTAGCTTTACCTGGCACACTAGGTCAGTTGTTCTGATCTCTAGATTATTTGCAGCTTTCCAGCTGCCCTTGTTTTTTGTCCTCCACAAGGTCTGTTAGAGACAGAGAGAGAACAGGCTGGGATTTTCATTTTCATATCTGCAGTGTGCCTTGTGCAACCAGTGGGTGATTTCAGGAGGTAGCAGACCTTCGGGCATGTGTGGATCACCTGTAGTACCTGTGCCCAGTAGTTCTAGTCACACCAGGGGCAAGGAACCTTCCACGTTTGGCCTTTGAGCATTGCTGTGGGGGGCAATGGGCAACTGACATTCTAAATGAAACTAATCATGCCAAGTTTGCTGTAATACTATTTTTGTCCACCTTTCTTGATGGAATATAATACTGAAATCTTGGTTGCAATTTTGTGAATATTCATATATCAATCTGCCTTGTTACGGTTCCACAAAAATCAGTAAATCCAGGACTTTCTCAATTTCTTCAGCATAAGAGTTACTTCATTTTCTCAGAAAATGTTTTAGCTGGAAGTAGCTTCAAATATAATATCCTGTCCTTATTTTTTAATGATTGTGTATCACAGTATCACAGTATCACAGTATGTTAGAGATTGGAAGGGACCTCAAAAGATCATCTAGTCCAATCCCCCTGCCGGAGCAGGAACACCTAGATAAGGTTACACAGGAACGTGTCCAGGCGGGTTTTGAATGTCTCCAAAGAAGGAGATTCCACAACCTCCCTGGGCAGCCTGTTCCAGTGTTCCGTCACCCTCACTGAGAAGAAGTTTCTTCTCAGGTTTAAGTGGAACCTCTTGTGCTCCAATTTGTACCCATTACCCCTTGTCCTTTCATTGTTTGCCACTGAGAAGATAGCAACAATTGCTTTAGATAATCAGCTGTAATCTAGATGAATAAAGACTGTTTGCAATTAGATATTTCTGGAATCTAAAGGAGATTCAGTAGAAGTCTGATATTTTTTGTTTCTTTTGTCCTGCTCATTCTGGACAAGGGTGTTTTACTCCTAAATTCCCAGTAAAGGGTGTTTTACCTCTCAACTTCATTGTAGTCTTGTGATAAATGTTAAGGCCTTTCCTTGGAGGAAGTTATTAGGACCCAAATTGCTGATGATGAGTGTGGTAGATTAATGTAAACTTAAATATCTATATAAAATTAATGGACCTGACTGATGCATCATGAAATGCTATGAAAATATCTTGGAGTATTTTGCAGAACATGTTTTTATCAGTTTCCTCATTTTACTGTTTTAGAGATTAAGAGTAGCAGTTTGCCCAGTATTGTTCAACATCTTAACAGGACAGCTGGAATAAAGCTTATTTTTCAGGTTTTCATGCTTCAGCATCCTTCAGAAGTATATTCCTGCATATAAAGCAATGGTTGCACTGGAACAATTTGTACAAATACCATTCAGCACAACAAAGAATGTTATTTAAACTTTCATCTCAAATATTTTACCAGTCATTACCAAAATGTTTTTTACAGTGCAGTGGAATACTGATTTAATGCATGAAAAGTGGATTATTCTAAAATCTCACTTTATTTAAATGTATATTCTGTTTTTTCCTCTTCCTTTAGGTCATTGTGGGAAAACTTTTGCTATTTTGGAAAGGTTTTTGAATCATAGCTCTTCCAGAACTCCTTGGTTAGTCATAGTGGATGATGACACACTGATAAGGTATACATTGCAATACTTCAGGAATTACCACTGTTCATGTCAGTAGGAGTTTTAGCAATCTTCATCTCTTACGTATTTATGTTTTATTTATTACGTAGCCTCATGATCCTTTAAAAAAAATCGTCACTTTTGTTCAGCATTCTTTGATATTAAAGCCAATGTAATCTTGTAACTTGATAAAAACTATGCATATTAGTGCTATTACACCACTACATATTCTGAATATGATTGCAAATTGTGATTCTTCGGTATAGGTATGTCTGAGCTGATTGGTTTTAGTCATTTGCCAATACACTTTCTAAGGTGTATTCCTTATGTAATGTGCCACAGGAAAGGTTCCATAAGCTAGGGCCTGTGTCAGGCACACAGACCCGTATCCGTGGACTTGCCCTTATTAGAAATTTAGACCTTGTTCACATGAAAACTAGCGCTGCAGTGTAAGTGACATAAGGCACCACAGTCAGCCAGCAGGATCACAGGGTCATGACCATGAGAATAAGTGCTTCAAGATAGCACTTCACATTAAAGCTTGTGACAGAAGAAGAATTTGGAAGAGGCAGTAACTCTAGATAAATTGATAGTTGTATAACTAAATCTACCTGTTTGCTTTTCAGCTCCTGGGGAGAAAAGATGATTTGCAAAGATGTTACCATTGTTTGGAAAAAATAATTCCATGGTCCTACAGGGATGCTGGGGATGGACTCTTCATTAGGGACCTTAGTGACAGGACAAGGGGTAACGGGTTCAAACTTAAACGGGGGAAGTTTATATTGGATATAAGGAGGAAATTCTTTACTGTTAGAGTGGTGAGGCACTGGAATGGGTTGCCCAGGGAGGTTGTGAATGCTCCATCGCTGGCAGCGTTCAAGGCCAGGTTGGATGAAGCCTTGGGTGGCATGGTTTAGTGGGAGATGTCCCTGCCATAGCAGGGGGGTTGGAACTAGATGATCTTAAGGTCCTTTCCAACTATTCTATGATTCTGTGTTTTCTCTCAGATGAGGCTCAGTTTTGCTGATAAACTTTGTTTGCTTCAGAAACATTTTAAGCTAATTGATTCATCATTTGACCAAATTCAGGAACATAAGTTTCATCTCTGTTTTTTGTGTAATTTCTGAATTTCTCCTATAATTTTTGTGCTATTTACTGGAATGCATTTATGTTAGCAGTGTCTGTTGCAAATTGAATGTCTAAATGGTGGGGTTTAAATTGTTTTTTCATATTATAGTATCTTCAGGCTCCGAAAATTGCTCAGCTGCTATGACCCAAATGAACCAGTATTTCTTGGAGAGCGGTACGGTTATGGCTTGGGAACAGGAGGATATAGTTACATCACTGGTGGAGGAGGGTAATGTCTTTAAATTCCTGCTGAGATCTACATCAGTCCCTGCTTTGAGTGCAAATACTTTGAATTACAACACAAATCAGTTACAGCAGAAACTGTTAAAATGTAATGATGCTCCAAAACCCAAAAGTCCTAACTAGTAAGAAGTTGTGCTGCTGGGGACAGATTTGTAGAGGAAAGCAGTTGGTTTCAGAAGGGTTAATTTTAGCTTAGGTGGTCCTAAAAGTAATTAAAGCTAACTAAAATAAATTAATGCTTTTTCAGAAAATGCCTCTTGCGCTAATTGTCAACCCTGATTTCTCAAATTCTGAAATTTCAAATCTGTTGTAACAGAGGGCCACATTTTGTTGTGCAGTTATATCATTTATCAGTATTTAGTAATTAGAGTCATTCGGCTTCTCTGGTACTTACTGTCTTATGTTTCATTTGCCTTTTTTTTTAATCCAGGATGATTTTCAGCAGAATAGCTGTTCAGAAACTACTTGCTAGTAAATGCCGGTGTTACAGCATGGATGCGCCTGATGATATGGTCCTTGGGATGTGTTTCAGTGGCTTGGGAATCCCTATAACACATAGTCCACTTTTCCATCAGGTGAGAGTTATTTTTACTAGTATTTAATGTATGTTTCATTATTTCAGGTATGCACATAGAACAGGATTCATAAATATTTCAAACTCATAAATAATGCACACTCAATCAATATGTAATAACAATAACTAAGATGCTGCTCCTATACCTTATTTCTCTACAGAGCAAGCAAATAGTATTCTCAAAACAGGGATTATCACAATGCTGTAACATTTTAAAAGATATTTCAGTTACCCTAAGACTACATTTTGTAAAAACTGCTGTCAGAAATGGGAATTTTGAAAAAGAAATAGAATTAGGAGCCACATGCTTTGAATACTTGTGATGTGTTCTCTACAGAAAGAAAAATCCCTGCATCATAATATTTTTTTCTTCAGGTAATGGAGAACTGACTCTGAAATATTTTTCAGTGAATTTTTCTTTTCTACTTACCCAGTTTTTCTATTAATGCAGTGTTTTAACATTCTGAAATACCTCATTAGTGAAAATATAAAATGTAAAATTACTCCCAGAACTGTTGCTTTTGTGGTGAATTCTGCAGAATAGTATAACTATTATAAATTGCCCTATGCTAACACAAGGGAAAAAGAGGTCACAAAACATAATTTTCTTATGACTGTATTCTCCAGTTTGGGAGAAATGGGTTGGAATAGATTAGAATCTTGTTTCTGTCTTCCAGAATATTTAACAATCTAACTGCAGCATTACAACTGAAACACAATGCCAGAGATTTGCTGCCTCGTAAACCACTTTACATTCCTCCCATGCCATGAAAGAGAAGAAGCACTTACCATTTTTTCTTGACATTACACAGCATTTTTAAAAATCAGCATTTCAATCAGTATGGGGTTGAGGATATTCAGGTGTTAATCTAGTTTAAAAACTGGAAAGACCTGTGCATCTCAACGTGAACCGAGATTAAGACAAAATGCAACTTGAAATCTGTAAATTGCCATGTAATTCAAAGCAGCTGTCAGGATGGGGGGAAAGGTTTGCTATTTAAATTACAAGGTTTTCCTGTATTAAAATTCTCTTTCTGGTTACATTTACTATTTAGAGGAATGGGAAGGCTGAGAAAGCACTATTCAATATTTTAATTCCTTGTCCATATAAAAGAATCATAGCTGTTTTCTTTCCTGTTTTCTTCATCATTGCTTACTCCTTTCAGTGTAGAAAGCAAGTAATGCATCTTATAAAGTCAACAGAGTTACTGAGTAATTTGTGCTGGCACAGGTGCTTGTTGAGAAAAACCCCAACACCTAACTAAAGGAGAGTCAGAAAGAACAGAACTGGTTTTACAGATATGTAGGAATGGCCCTTGTACAACAAAACAGGGCACTTCCGTGTAATCTTTAATGGTGTACATTTGCTAATGAATCACTTTGAAAGTGAAATCCTAGAAGTTTGATTTTCCACATAGAAAACTGCACTTGAATTGTAATTCATCTTTACTGCTGTTTACAACAAATTCTAATTTAACATACCTTGAGCAAAAATTAACCGGGGGAGAGGGGGGAACTACTGAATAAAAACTAAGTGGCCTTATTCTACAAATTCCACTATTAGGCAATAAATATTTTAAAAATGAGAAAAACGAAATTGGATTTTCTGTCAACCAGAAATTTACTTTTTAAAGGCTTGACTGAAATACTGTGATGTACAATGTTCCTTGAAGTACATGAATCCAAAATTGTACTGTGTATATATTATGAAACAGAAGCAAAGATATCTTCATACTGGAGACATTCAAGGCCAAGTTGGATGTTTGTTTTTGAGCAACCTGGTCTAGTTGAAGATGTGCCTGCTCACTGCAGGGGGGTTGGATTAGATGACCCATAAAGGTCTCTCCCAACCCAAACTATACTATGATTCTGTTTTACCAAGGACTGCTGCAGGTGGGGCTTTTTTATATATTGATGCCCTTACATGCTGTCAGAGGAAATGAAACATGCTTGGTGCATGGAGAAGTCAGCTGCATCGAGTAGCTGTGTTGTAATTCTGTCTCTTTTGATATAACTTGATGAAGAATAACAATGCAGTTTTCTGGCACCACAGTATTTCTGTGTTTGGTAACCTTTCCCCATCATAAAACTTCATATATTTTGGCTGCTTACAGCCCTCTTAGGATCCTACAGTTGCACTGGAAGTGCTGGCAACTCTCATTAATATGAGGAGCAGGAGAGTATTACTTAAACTCTGTTGTTATTGAAGCAAAACTGTATGTTTAAAAAGATGCAATACAAACTATACTGCATCATTCACTTTCGTAGATGGTGATGGTTTCATCCTGAGAAATAGGACATGTTTAATGTCAGTGTACTTCATAGCATGATGACTGCAGTGCAAGTTGGATATCTAAACTAATGCCTGTCAATTGATTTAATATAATGATGTGAAAACCCCATTGTGTATGTTTTGTCAATGCCACATTGCTCTGTTGTGGTACACAGGCCATTGGACAACAGTACTTTCTTGTTCTAAACTTGTTCTTCATCACAGAGTACTAGTGGTTTTGGTTTATTCTTCCACCCTAGGCAAGGCCAATGGACTACCCAAAAGGCTACCTTTCTCACCAAATTCCAGTATCATTTCACAAGCATTGGAATATTGATCCAGTGAAGGTGTATTTCACATGGCTGGCACCAAACACAGAAGAGTCACTTAATGGAAAGAAAGTTGGATATAACAGAGAGGATTTATAAGCAGTAGAATGTAAATGTTGATGGATGTACTGCAGAGAAGACACTGCTGTGATTTTTGTGGTGGTCTCACATTGTTCATCTGTTCATGATACAGAATACAAGGTTTGTTCCTGTTAGTTATATTCCTTAGAGCAATGGGAGAAGGCACCTAATTGACTCTTTTGTCACACTTCTTTTCTTTTTAAAATGTTTTGGGGTTTTGTATACCAATGAGCTTGAAACATTTAAAATGTCTCATACAACTTTGTTTTGGTTTGGGCTTCAAGTCAGGCAGCATCGATTTACATCTCCTTCCTTTGTTTTCTCAAAAGCTGAAGTTATGTGTTTGGGAGCCTAATACTGAATATGTGTGGAGTATCTATTGAACATCACCTACATTGACCTACAGAAAACAGTGCTCAGAAAAGCTGTTCTGGAACAGGTTCTTGGTGATAAATCAGAGAGGAGACATGACTTTGTTTCAGTGACCAGGAGCTAGCTATGATTGTGTGAAGGCTATGTTCCTTTATACTCATTTCAGATGCAAGTACTGACGTTTCCTGGGATTGGTGGACCAAGCAGGAACCACTGTTTTTAAGTTTATTAGCGTTTGTGAGGAATTTCATGTTCAAAATGGAGAAACAGGATTTCTTAAGTGGCCACGGGAGGTCACTGTGGCTCCTTTAGAAACCTAAGTCACTATATCTGTTTGGCAAGTACAAATGTGATTCTAAAGGATTATTGCAGAACTAACACTTCAGTATTTCTGATGTGTGCATTTCAATAGCATATGGATGCCAGCTTTAAAAAGTTTGTAGTATTTCTAATTTATATCATCAAGGTAAGCAATTTCATGCATACATGTAAAGAGTGATTCAATTCATATTTAAAATACTTTTGATTTTTTGTTTCTTTGAATACTTCAGTTTTGTAAAAATGTTTGTACAAAAACTGGCTTTAGTATGTTCTAAACTAATTTTTATATTGTAGAACTCCTCCTTTTGAGATGACAGTATATGGCACTTGTATGCTGTTATTTAACTTTGCTTGCTATATTGTAACCAAAATACAGGGTCTTAAAGCCATACTGCTGAAGTAATTTGTGGTTTGTTTTCTTTTAGTAAGCTACAACCTGATTCCACTCCAAAGTAATGCAATACTTGCTCTTAAGCTGAAGTAGGGGAGCCACTGATTCCTGTGTTTCAGTAATTACTGAAGTTGTATAAACATATGTTTGTGAATGTAGCTTGTGGAATTTTAAGCATTTGAATAGCAAGCACATGTTTGTAACAGATTCAGATTCTGATTAAATAGGAGCAATCCGTGTTATGTCTTTTTTCATCCCACTACCAGTGCCTTAACAGTAGACATTTTACTGACCCCAGGACTGTGTTCTCCGGTACTGTGGGTGAATTGTTAATTATGTTTACTGTTTAGAACTGTGAGAGCTGAAAGCTGAATAAAAGCATTCTTCTTTAACCTTTTGTGCCGCCTTCCTCTTTGCAAACCAAGTACAGGATTATTTAAGCACTCATCATACTTTCATCACCTGAATAGTATTCTATGCTCATTTGTACTAAGAGACTTTTGAGTTTTTCATATTCCCTCCTGACATGCTTATAGGATCATAAAATTAGCTAGGTTGAAAAAGACATTTGAGATCATAAGCCTTTACCCTAGGACTGCCAAGTCCACCACTAAACCATATCACTGGATTAGGTTAATTTTCAAGTCTCTGTTTTTATGCAAACAAAAAAGGCTTTTGGAGTGAACACATGTGTTTGGGAATCTTGATGCTATCATAAAATATATGTCAGTATCAAATTCTCCAAAGGTCTTGCAATGTAGTTCAGTCACTTCCAGCTTCATCATCATCATCATCATCATGGCTTGACTTCACGAACGAAAATTTGGGAAGGGCATTTACCCACGCTTACTACAAGCGCGCTGATGACTAAGAAGGCCAATGTTCAGACTGGTGACATTCCACATGTGCTTGGGCCCTGTGGCTGCAGAATAGGTCAGGCAAAACCAATCAGCTTTTGTCATGCTGTGTTATACTTGTAGACATCTGTCTTATTTAGAGACTGGGTGCCATCGACTCATTCATTGATTGCTTACTCGGACTTCAGCTTCTGGTCTGACACGTAATAGTAGCTGTCTGAAGCTCCATCTTTTCTTTCGCTGCTAGCTCTGATTTTGCTGCACAATTGTGGAGGTATTTGTAAGCATCAGACTTCTGATTCTCATCTTTATAGTTTTGAAAGCAGTGAGTCAATAATTTACTCAAACATTCTGCCCCTGAAACTCTGACTTTTGCAACATAACTAATGCTATGCAACCCTAGCAGCAGAATGATGAAAGTAACCTTTTATTCCATGAACTACAAAAATTAAGATTGGGGCTTTTTTCTTTTTCTTTTTTTTGTTCCAAGCAGAGATTATGGAGAGGTTTTGCAAACAAGATGTGAAGCCTTCTATATTAAATTTAGTTTTAGAAGACTTAGGAAGGCTGTTATTATCTGAAATCTAAAGGCAAAATCGCACATTAATGAGCCTCAACAGTACTCGGGTTTCTAAGAAAAATCAAGGGGATTATAAGTCGTGTAATGTTAAAGCAAGAGGAGGGGAATTCACAACACTTTTGTAACGGGCAGATTGAAATAGGACTGCAAAGTTGTTTGACAGCTTGAAGCTCTTGAAGTTCCCTTTTCTGGGACATTACAGAATTTTGGTGTGAAAAAGTAAAGCTGTGGGTCATTATTGACTGATTTTAATGTTCATAATATAGAAAATTTCCATGTATTAAGATACTTCTTTCATAGAATTCTCTTGATAATTTGGTTGGTTGGTTGGTTAATCTGCTTTCGGGAGCAAAAAATCAAATCCTGAAATATTTCAGCATAGCAGGAGTGATGAGTGATAAAGTATTTGGGTCCCACATTTGATCACATGAGAGAATGAGGACACTGAATCTATTCTTATTTCCCCACATCTGACCTTGTCTCCAGTGAGCAGAAAAACTGGGCAGGAGGCAGAGGCAGCTTGCTATCTGGGTAACTTTCTTCTTGTGCAGGAAAACTACCCTAACAGCAGCTCTAATGACTGCTGACTGGAGGAAAGTGTCCAAATTACTTTGTTTTCAGTTCCTTAATTTTGACATGGTTTAGGAATTTTTATTATCATGGCTGGAACTAAAATATGTCTCAGGAAGAGACCCAGGATGCTATTCCATCAGTGGTACAAAGCATTTTGACACTGTCCCACATGACATCCTTGTCTCTAAACTGGAGAAGCATGGATTTGATGTGGATAAGGAATTGGCTGGATGGTTGCACTCAAAGGGTTGTGGTAATGGCTCCATGTCTAAGCAGAGACTGGTGATGAGTGCTGTTCCTGAGGGGTTGGTTCTGGGACCAGTGCTGTTCAGCATCTTTGTTGGTGACATGAACAGTGAGATTGATGCACCCTTAGCAAGTCTGCTGATGACACCAAGCTGTGTGGTGTGCTCAACAGGCTGGAGGGAAGGGATCTCTTGTGAGACCCAACCTGCATCCAGGTCTGTGGCCCCCAGCATAGAAGCACATGGACCTATTGGAGGGAGTCCAGAGAAGGGCCATGAAGATGCTCAAAGGGCTGAAGCACCTCTCCTGTGAAGACAGGCTGAGAGACCTGGGCCTGTTGAGCCTGGAGAAGAGAAATTTCCAGGGAGACCTTAGAGAATCCTTCCAGTACATAAGGAGGGCCTGCAAGAAAGATGGAGAGGGACATTTTACAAGGGCATATAGGGATAGGAGGAGGGGTAACACTTTTAAACAGAAAACAGGGTAGATGTAGATGCTGCATGTTAGTGTCTGTTACCTACTCCCTGAAAGCCTGGGAGAATGGCAGGAAATACAGCATGTATCCCCCAGGAAGAAGGAAAACATTGAATGACTGAATACCTAGTGAGTTCCCTGATTGTCTTAAGGAGAGCTCTTGCTGATCCTGCTTCAAGTACATTGACCATTCCCTAGCTAGCCGAGGTAACAGATGTGATACAGAATGTAACACTAGGTAAATACAAGAAATAACAGCCAGTGTCAGGCCAAGCTCAGAGCTCAGGAGGCATTTGTAGCTCTGTGCTTATTAAGGACAGTTGGTCATAAGTGCTGATGGGTGATGTTGGCCAATCCACCAGCCTTTTCTTCCGAAGACTTCTGGAGACTATGCGTCCCACTAATGTTCTGTTTGCAAGCTCCTTTCACTTGCAGTTGGAAACAAGTATGGCTCTGTTCATCAGGTATACTTCCTTGAGGTAGTCCACAGAGCAGTCCAGGAGCTCTGCTCCAGGCACAGTGCTTGGATTCAGCCTACTCTCTTCTCCTGTGGCCTCATTCTGCCTGTTCATGTATCTCTGCTGAGAAGTTCTCAGTTCTCCCAACAAAGTTAATAATTTGTTTTTTTCCATTACGGTTTGTTCAGGCTAGTTTGTACAGTTTGTACAGGCTAGAATTTTCCTGTTGATGTTCACCAAAATGCTTCTGATCTTACAAATGCTAGTTCTGGAATGATTTTACACTTAATAAACAGTGAAATTTTTTAAACAAATAAAATGTAGATAATAATCCTATAATTACCAGATTATTATCTTCTTGTGAGGAACAATGTCAAGTACAGAATGCTTGAAAAAGATTTAAAGTCCTAGCAGAGTAAGACATAATTCTGTTTTACAAGAGCTGGCTTACCTCTGTCATGCCTTGCCACTTGTTCACCTAAGTGCTGTAATTAAAACTTCAACAAACGTTTGCTTTTGAAGCCTGTAATCGTCCTGCCAGTCTTTCAAAAGCGGATGAAGTATTTATTGCCCTTCCAGCATTGTCGTAGGTGCTTATAGTGAGTGTTTTCATGACCTTGGTTAGCAATTAATCCACTTCATTCTTAAAATCTTTCTGGTTTCTCAAATGCATACCCTGGAAGGTTGATGGGTTACAGTGAAGAGGACAGAGAATGCAGAAAAGCAGAAAGGAAAGAGATACTGAAGTTAAGCTGTAAAAATGAGGTCTGTGCAGCTTTTATGACCATATATGCAGCCATATGCTCATAGATATAGATGCTGATCTCCATGTTGGGATCAGCCTTTGCAACTTTCAGAGAAGTTTCTATCATATCTTCACTGCAGGGACAAAAGGATTGTGGATTTACATTAATAACAGACAAGCCCATGCTACAATTTACTGCTTTTTTTTCTGTGTGTATAAATGTGATTGTTCTCCAGCCTCTGCAGAACCAGGACCCTGAGTGGGCTGGTTAACTCCGACCTTTGCATCCACCTACCCACAGGCAAGATCCCCACATAGCTGAAATAACAGCCAGTTTTAACTGACACAGCTGATGTAGCTTATGGCTCCATGGGCAGACATAATTAAGAGTGCTGCTCTTCTTGGAAAATTCTATTCAAGCACCACAACTCTTCATGTGTTGAAAAAGGCAAGACAGTACTGCATAGGAGTCCAGCTGGGGGACTGAATAGACCCCAAGAAGCAATAATACGGCTTGGCTTATTGCATTGTCATCGACTGTATCACATGTGAAGAGATATTGAACAGAAACATCAAATGCAGTGAGATGAGTCAGATTCTTATGGCCCTGGGAGCGGTTTGCTTGTCAGCACTCATTTAAGCAGGAAATATCTTCCTTTGAGATCAAAAGGTAACATATTGTAGAACTTGCTTGGTTTAACTCTAAAGATAGTGAGAAACAATGCGAGGGGTGGTAAGGATCTGTAGAAATACAGAGAAGATCTGTTCAGTGAAAGACTAAACAGGCTAGAAATATTCATTTGAAAAGGCAAGAGTGGGGCAGAACTCCATCTAACAAATGATACAGGAAAGGTGAACAGGGAGTGATTTTTCACTATCTCATAAGCCAGGTACTGAGGTACACTACACAAAGTTGTCAGGGTAGTTTCAGTACAGACACGTGTGTTTCTGTAGCACAAAACTGAACTGCAGAACCTGTTGGCACAGGATGGACAGAGGCTGGAAAGTGCAAAAGGGCTTAAAAATGGTTTGTACAAAATCACAGCAGAAAGGTCCATAAATTCCTAAACAGACCTTTGCCCAGACTCAGTATGACTCTTCCTGTGTAATATTGGTATGCACAAAGTTCAGTTCAAAGGGTGGGCTTGGGGTTTTTGGTTTCCACCAATGTGGTTACGGGTAGTGCTTCAGTTCCTGTGCTCTCAGAGTATCCTGTGGTTGTACAAGTTGAGAGCCACCTCAGAGATAATCTCCACTGCCATGACAATGTCTGAGGACCCCAGACAAGAAAATGATTGTGGACCATGGGCCACGCATACATGCAAACTGAAGTGCTGGTCCACCACAACTTACAGGCCAAGAAACATGCCAATGACAAAGACCCAAAGCTCTGCAGGGCACCCAGCCAAGCTTTCCTCCCTGAAAATGGTGTTAGGATCTCAGGGAACTGAGCAACTTT